ATTTTTACTTTTAGATTTCATATATGAGTGCGAATGTGCTAAATATCTGTCTTTCACTGTCTGGCTTATTTCACTTAGCATTATTCCTCTGGGTTCATCATGTTGCTACAAATGGCAGGCTTCTCTGTTATAGAAATCCACTTAAAACATAAAGCTACAGAGAGAAAATGATGGCATAAATATACCATGCAAACACTTACCATGAGAAAGCTAGCGTGAGTATATCATAACAGATAAGTAGATTTCAGGGACATTATCAGAGATAAATAGGGACATTTCATAACAATCAAAAAGATACAACAAATATAAAGCATATGTAACCTAATAACAGAATTCTAAGATCTATGAAATACAAAACAGATACAACCAAAGATGAAATTTCCAATTTTCTAATTATGATGGTACCAGACTCCCAACAATTGACCGAATTAGTAAAGATAGAAAAGATCTAAACTAAATGCTCAATCCCCTTGACCTAGCAGACATTTACAGAGCCCTCTGCTCAGCAACAGCCGATATAGATAATCTTTTCAATGCACTTGTTACATTTGCCAGGATAGACCACATTCTGGGCCATAAAACATGTCTCAGTAAATTTTAAAGGACTCAAGTTATACAAAATGTTTTCTCTGAGGACAATAGAAGTAAACTGTAAATTATTAACAGAAAGACTGTTGGAAGAAATCCCAAATAACTGAAAACTAAGTATCACACGTCTAAGGAACCCATAGGCCAAAGATAAAATTAGCAGGGAAATAGAAGAAAGTATTCTAAATAGAATGAAAACAATAAAACAAAAACAAAAAATACAATCAATTTGAAAAATGCTGCAAAAGCAGTACTTTATAAAAAATGTACAACAATAACCGCTGATACAGAAAAGAAGAAAGGTCTCAAATGGTGGAAGTGACCCCAGCTTCCACCTAGAAAAGAAGAAAATAAAGCTCAAAGAGAAAGGAAGGATATAATAAATATTCTAGAAACAAGCAAACAAAAAAGAGCAAAGGAAACCCAGAGGAAGTATAATAAAGGATATGAGAAATATTAAAGTGGACACTAATGAACTAGAAATAGGAGACAATGAAACCAAAAACTAGGTCCCCAGAAGGTCAATAAAACTGATGACTCTCTAGCCACACTGACCAAGACAGTAAATAAAAAGAAACAAATTACCAGTATCAGAAATGAGAGTTGCTATGGATATTAAAAAAGGAATCACAAAATATTATAAACAAAGTTAAGCTTATAAAGTCTGGTGCCTAAGTGAATGTGAACTCCCAGCCAGATTGCTTTACTAGTGAATTCTACTAAACATGCAAGGACTAAATACTACTCTTTCTCCACAAACTCTTCCAGAAAATTGAAGAGGCGGGTATATTTTTCAACTCTTCTTTAGCACTAGCCTCATACTAAAAGCCAAAACATTGTAAGAAAACTACGTATCTCTCCTATGAACATGAATGCAAACATTCCAAATTAAAGTTAATAATACATAGAAAGAATAATCATCATGATCAAGGGGGGCTTATTTTTCAGGAGAGCAATATTGGTTAAACCTTCAAACCAATATAACTGATTTGTAAATGGTTTCAGTATAATTAACCAAAAAGGAAAAACCATGTGGCTTTCAAGAGATGCAGAAAAGCATTTGACAGAATTTAATATCCATTTCTGATTAAAAAAAAACTCTTACTCTGCAAAGGAGGAATAGAAGGGAACACTCAATCTGATAGAGGACATCTGTAAGACATCTACACGTAACTTAATGGTGAAAGACTCAGTGCTTACCCTAAAATGGGGAACAAAACAGCTACCTGTTCTGACAGGTCTTAATCAACATTGTGCTGAAGTAGGTCTAGTCAGTGAATGGAAACAAAAAAAGGGAAAATGAAAGGCATCCAAATTGGAAAGAAAGAAGTAATATGTCTTTATTCACAGACAATGGTGATAGAAAATCCAACAGCATCCAAAAAAAAGTTTCCATCGGGCCCTCCCTGGTGGTGCAGTGGGTTAAAGCACAGCACTGAGAATCTGAAGCCACTTCCGCATGAGTTCAGTTCCCACCTGCCCCTGAGGTGACCACATGGTGTGGCAGACCTCTCCTGACCCGCCCGCTACTCCCCTCAACAGTGTACTTCGTCGATCTGCCTGTTTTGTTCCCCACTCTGTCTCTGGTGAAGCCTCTCACCGCCCCTGAGCCTCTGGCCTGTACCCCAGTTCTGTATGCACAAATAAATAAATCTTTAAAAAAAAAAAGTTTCCATTACTATGAGTTCAGCACAGGACACAAACATATAAAAAATAATGAACTGGCCCCTCCCTGGTGGCACAATGGGTTGAAGCACAGCACTGAGAAGCTAAGGCCACTTCAGCATGAGTTTGATCCCCACCCCGTAGGTGACCCACATGACATGGCAGACATCTGCTTGACCCACCCGCTGCTCCCCTCAACAGTGTACTTATCCGTCAGCCAGTTCTGCTCCCCACTCTGTCTCTGGTGAATCCTCTCACTGCCCTTGCACCTCTGGCCTGTACCCCAGCTCTGTGTGCATACATAAACAAATCTTTGAAAGAAGGAAAAAAAAATAGGTGGTGCAATGGGTTAGGACACAGCACTGCAAGCTGGCCCAGCTGCCTCAGTGCGAGTCCGATCCCTACCCGGAGGTGACCCACATGGTGCAGCAGACCTCTCTTGTCTTGCCCTCTGCTCCCTTCAGCAGTGTACTTTGTTGATCTGCCTGTTCTGTTCCCCACTCTGTGTCTGGTGAAGCCTCTCACTGCCCCTGCACCTCTGACCTGTACCCTAGTTCTGTATAAATAAATAAATATTTTAAAAAAGGAAGAAAAAAATAATAATGATGAACTGAACTGAAATTAACAAAATGATCATGCACGATAGCATCAAAACATATTAAATTATTAAGAGTAAACCTGATAAAAGATGTAAAAAGGCCTGAACACTGCTGAGAAAGATTAAAGAAAACCTTAATAAATTGACGGAAAAACCTCTGGTCATGGATTAGAAGAGTCAACATTGCTAACATGTGGCTACTCTTCAGAGTGAACTGGAGATTCAATGCAATTCTAATTAAAATCCCAAGGAGGCTCTTTTGCAGAACCTGACATCGAATTCTAAAATCCATATGGAAATGCAAATAACCTAGAACTGCCAGAACAACTAGGAAAAAAGAACAAAGCTAGAACAAGATTTGTCATAAAGTTATAGGACTCAATCCAGTGTGGCACAAAGAAAAAATAAGGTCAATGACATTGGATAGTCAAAATATATATATATATATATATATATATATATACATTTTCACAGAAATGAAAAGGCAGAAATGGTAGTCTTTGAAACAAATGATACTAAAGCCAGAGATACCCTCATGGAAAAGAACTTTGATCTGCATCTTACACCATGGTAATTTCATTTTGAAAGACAAAGGACACAAAATTATCTAAAAATCTCTATAAAAATATACTTGGAAGATTCATACTATCTAATTTCAAAGACTTAGTATAAAGCTACAGTAATCAAAACAGACATATAGAGCAGTAAAACTGAATAAAATCCAGAAATAGACCCACAAATATACTTCAACTACTTTTTCATCAAATGCCAAGGTAATTCAATGGGGGGAATATAAATAAGTGGTGCATGAACAAGTAAAAATTCATATGAAAAGAAATGAACCTCAACTTAATTCAATATATATCACAGGCTAATATAAAAGCTAAAGCTGCAAACCCTCTAGAAGAAAACACAGGAGAAAAAGCTTTACAAAGTTGGGGCTGACAAAGGTTTTACAGACAGGAAACTCAAAATGCATTAACCTTAAAATGTTATGTAGTACTCACAAGATAAACATCTGAGACAGGACTTGTATCAAGAGTCCTTTATAACACTATAACAAAAAGATTAAAATCTTAAATTAAAAATAAAATGAAAAAAATGAAGATAATACAAATGGCCAACTGCACTCATGAATATTCACTATCATTGTTGATCATAGAAAAGCAAATTAAATCAACAGAAATACACTACACACCCACTAACGTGCATAAAATGTAAAGCCACACAACACCAAGTTTAACCAAGAATGAGAATCAACTAGAACCTACATACATCATGGTAAAATCGAAAATGGTACTAACTCTTAACATAGGACCTGTATACTCCTATCTAGGAATACACCAAGAAATGTGTGTTCATTTATCCAAGAGAAATGAAGTCATATATCCATATATGATGTTCATAGCAGCTTTCCTTATAATAACTCCAAACTGAAGCCAGCTCAAAAGTTCCACATAGGTGAGTGGATAAACAAACTGTGTTACATTCATACACTGAAGCAGTCCATAAAAATAACAAGGAAGGAACTACTGTTGCATACAAGATGCATACATCTTAAAAATATTACGCCAAACAAAAGAATCCAGACCCAAAGAGCATTCACATGCTGTATGATTCTATTTATATAAAATTCTAGGAAAACTACAGTGACAAAGCAGATGTCTGAGATGGAAGGGAATTAAAGAAATTGAATGGGGAATTCTGAAGGTGACAGAAGTGTTATGTATCTTGGTTGTGGCCAACTGGTGTTTATATTTGTTCAAACATGTTAACAACTGTACACTTAAAATGGATGCATTAGATTTGAATGGCAATTAAAATAAATATATGTATTGAGTATATATAGAGAGATATTGGGTAGGCTCACATATACATGCTTTTTTCAAATCAAGGTAATGAAAAGCACACATTTAAGATGGTGACTAACCCCAGGTTAGGGAGCTAGTTAGAAAGGCAGGGTATTAAAAAGCGGGAGGAATAATACACAGATGGATTAAATTACAGTTTAGTTCTAGAGTTAGGTGATATTCATAGTATTAGAAACAAAGGCCCCACATGGGCAGCAATGATGACAATATGTCATAATTAATCCAGTTTCTGAGGACCAGAAGTACAGCTTAAAAACAAAAAAGGGCAGTCACCTCACCCATATATTTCCCATGTCTCTGATGTAGGGAATATGCGAATAAATCCACCTCGCCGATCATTCTCTTCCTTTACCCTCCGTAAAACTCTGATCTGCATGGAGGAAGAGAAAATAAAATGAATACTTAATTTGAAATTCAGAGGAAGATAGTGACAACCTGTGACTATGAAAGAAGCAGAAGGGAGGAATTAATTCCACTTAAGATGTTGGACTACACCTGCGAGGAGAAAGCATGCATTGTACAAAAAGGAAAGAACGATGTAAAAATATATATAACATTTAAAAAAGAAGTACGGAACAAAACAAATAATAAAAGTGATCAGAAACGATAAATAAATGAATGAATAAATAAAATAAGATGCTGCTTCTGAGCGGTGATTCCCGCTTTGACTCTCTTTGCAAAGCAACATACGACTTTGTCATGAATCAGTCACTGATGTTACTGAACCCAGTGTTAACCCACAAAGGCCTGAAGTGGGGTCATCTTTACCTCCTCCATTGACAGACCAAGCACAGAACCACCTAACTTCCCCGGCACCTTCTCCCGGGCAGAACCCACGAGGTTTTTCATTTCCGCATCACTGGCAGAGAGTGGCCGGGCACGCTAAGGAGAAGAAAAAACAAAAACCATTTCCATCCTCTTCATTTCCCTCTATTCAGTCCTCAACATCATTGTCTTTCCAAATATGTATCAGGTCACATCCAAACCCATTTTCTGTAATTTATCTCTTAGCCTAAAATCCTGGGAATTGGGTCAGTACTAGGAAAGGCACACTCAGAGGGGGGGAAAAAAAGGGAAAAGCAGGAAGATACTATGAACTAAGAGAGAAACAAATGGAAGAAAAGGAAAGACGACATGTGACTTTCTAAGTGACCACTTACTCCTCCTCATCCTGGTTTTAGAGTACATCTAAAATTGCCAAGGATACAGAAAACATCTGAAAGCAACTTCACCGAAGTGTATATTTATTTCAGTAATTACTCTAAGCATGGTGGAAAGAGAGTAAAGAGAACTGAGACATAAGACAAAACCACGGAGCATCTATTATGTGACAGATGAAAGGCTGGGGTGTTTTAGAACTTGAGGGGGAAATGTTGAGCGGTGCCACTGGAGACACAGAACAGCCACATCAACCCGCTAGAAGGCTACAATGCAAGAGATGCGGTGGCTGCTGGCCTCAGGAACCCTGGAGCGAGGACCCTCGGAAGAAGCCTCACTGACCCCCAACGGGGGGCAGGCTACTTTAGCTTCTGAATTACAGGACAAAAGTTTTAAGTGATTTTGATGTATGGGAGCAGAGAAATAGAAAGGAAACAAGGAAATCAGATGGCAAGAAGCATGAGCACACACGGCATGACTGGTAAGTCTGCCAGGGAAGAAGAATAAGAAATAAATCTAGAAGTGTGGGAACAACTGTCTTCCTAGATTCCTAGAAGCAACTCTAACCAGAGAAGAAGTCCCTTTGTCGGGGTGATTGTTCATTTTCTCTTTGTGTAGATTATGGAAAGGCATTTTGCTAACTAACTTTTGACCTTTTCAGCAGCAGTAACAGCTATGGAATGTTCGTGTCCTCCTCATCTTTGTATGTTAACTTCAAAACCCCAATGTGAGCGTATCTGGAGAAGGGAGAAAGATAGGGTTAGACAGATCATGAGAGCAAGGCCCTGGTCTGATAGAGCACTTGAAAGAGACTCTCTCCTCCCTGCACTCTCACAGCACACTTTAAGAAGAGAAAACACAAGAAAGATGGCGGCCACCTGCAAGGCTATAAGGGCCAGGACAAAACCTAGCTTGCCAGCACCTTGACTTTGGACTTACAAGCCTCCAGAACTGTGAGAAATAAATTTCTGTGGTTTAAGCCACCATGTCTGTGTTTTTGTTAAAACAGTCCAAGAGGACCCACTCTGGTGGTGCAATGGGTTAAAGCACAGCACTATGAAGCTAGTCGCAGCCATTTCAGCATGAGTTGGGGGGCAGTAACCCACATGGCGCAGCAGATCTCTCCTGACTCGCCCACTGCTCCCCTCAGCAGTGTACTTTGTCAATCAGCCTGTTCTGCTTCCCACTCTGTCCTTGATGAACCCTCTCACCGCCCCTGTACCTCTGGCCTATATCCCAGTTCTGTATGCATCAATAAATAAATTAATTAAATAATAAAGTAAATAAATAAAATTTGTGTCACCCCTGGACACAAATCACTATAGTTCTATCTTTGAACACCAGGGCAGTCAAGACACCCTACTCTCAACATTAGCATGGGAGTTTACAAAACAAGATTTTCAGATAAGCAACTCTAAATGAAATAATATGTAAAAAAAAAAAAAATCACAAAGTTAGCAGGTATAAGCAACATATGAAAGCAAGGACTTCCATTCAGCTTTTCCTGTGGTCCGTTCATAAAGAATAGTATCTGGCATGAAGCAGGAAACTAGTAAGTACTTGTTGAACAAATAAATGAATGAATGAATATGCCGGCACACAAATCAACCATGAATAGAATTAAACTTTGTAGAGGACTTTGGGAAAAACTTAAATTCCCTTCCAATCTTTGAGAATACATTAAAAGTCTGAGTTTGCGGCTCAGTGGGTTTAAGTTCTGCATTATGAAGCTATCAGCAGCCACTGCAGCACGAGTTCAATCCCCTCCAGGGAGGTGACCCACACAGCATGGCAGACCTCTCCGGACCCACCTGCTGCTCCCCTCAGCAGTGTATGTGCCTGTCCTGCTCCCCACTGTCTCTGGTGAATCCTCTCACCCACTGCACCTCTGGCCTATGCCTCAGTTCTTATATGCATAAATAAATACATCTTTTTATATTAAGCCTGAGTTGGGATGAAAGAAAAATCAAGGGGAAAGTTTAAAGAATTAGGAAGGGAATCAAGAGCATTAAAAAAAAAAAAAATTCTTTAAAAGTATGAATGCTTCTTGAGTGTACAATTTGGGAAAGCCAAAATATTAAATGAATGTTTTGAGAACTTTTCTTGTTTTCACATACTACTGATACTTGCTATTTGTGAAAAATACTTAATCTCCTTCACATGCAACTGTGCAGCTCTAATGAGAAAGCCTCTGGCAGTAACTCCTCTGAGGCCCAGCGGCCTCACAGCCGCGTGGTGACACTCTCTAGCATACTGTAAAGTCTTCTGATTTACGTGAAAGCAAGGATGAAGTCAGTGTTCATTTAAGTAAGGCAATAAACAAAGATTAACATCTAATGAGCACTTCTAAGTTTTGTTTTTTTCAAATTTTGTTGCTTTCTGTTTAACTTTTGTTCATCTTCTAGTCGTTTTCATTCTTAAGTTTTTTAATGTTTATTTTTCTATTGAAGCTTTGTCTTTTGCCTCTCTAGGACCTGCTTTTCATCTTGGTGAAATGAACTGCTTCATGATGGAACGTACTCTGGTTTCCAGAGATGGAGACGATGATGTTGCAGTTTTACTCTATCAACCTAAACCATTAACTTTCTCTGACAATCATGTGATTATTCAGAGAGTGTGTGCAAGGACATAAGCTATTTGGGTGAGACAAGCAGGGATTCAGGCCGGTGCTCTAGGCTGGTGTATTTGGAAAGTTTGAAAAAGGAAGGGGTTGAGAGGTGATGGTAATTTGCTAGTAAATGCTCTGTTAGCTCCCAGAAGCTGATGTCTTTAATCTTTCAGTGTCACAAATATCACCAGGCTACAAAGACAAAGTCACTGACACCTCCAGGGGTGTGGGAAGGAGGATGTGACTAGAACACTCCTTTAAAGTTGTCACTTTAGTCATTTCAGTGTAAACTATAACAATGCTGTGAATGAGAAAAATGTGAAAAAATTGTAGTTACGGAAATCTAGGTCTAGCAAATGACTTCTGTGAGAACTCACCCAGGTCTGTCACGTCTTTGGGGAAGCTACTGGTAAATAGAAGACTTAAAAAGTCAAACATATTTTTCCAGTCTCTGCTTTTCAATGAATTTGAGATTAAAGACGTTTACTTTTGTAATCAACATAAAATTTTCAGTATTTTACTTCAGACCAGTGGTGGAATCATATCGCCATCTACTAATTAGATGAATGATTAAGAAATGTAACCTGATAGACACCTGATAGATAATATGGAAAAAAAGAAAAAAATAGGAACACTTATGGAGACATAGCTGGACGTTAAAAGCAAAAGAAAAAAGGATCTGTGTACTCTGAAAGGCCATCAGGGCTGTCAGAAACAAGGGCAGAACAGTCCAAATGCAAGATACTTTGTAGTTTTGGCTTTGGGTGTATATACTACTTTCTGAGTGGTTAAGTAGAATAAATCTGAATTATTTCAATGGGTTGACTGAAAACACTAAATAAAGCTCCCTAGAACATAGAGAACCACTGCCTCTGGAGAGCTCACACATGATTTAAACTACTAGGTGCTCAGATAGACTTTAGCTGCCAAATTACTGTCCAGGTAAGAATTCTGCCATGCAGGATGCATCAAAGATGTTATCATTAGTATAATTTATAAATCAGAAATATACCCAGAAAAGAAACCTGTATATACCTGACCTTTTTATTATTAGGAAAAACTGGCTGAAAATGTTCAATCAGAAAAATGATTCTTAAAGAAAGCTACAAATGAAAGTAATAAAGAAAAAATAAATGAGCAAAGTGTAAATATGAAAAATGGTGAGGTATCCTAAAAAATATTATAATTGAGGAGCAAAGAATAATACTCTAATACAGTTTTACAAAGCGTGGCATTCTATGTTGAAAACAAATTAACGTGAAAGAAATAGCTCAATTTCTATGTGATTCATTAGGCCATCTAGAAAATAAGGGTTAAAAATCGGGCTTAAAAGGCAAAATGAATTAATGCCGTCCAAGGAAAGAATATGAACAAAAGGGACCACATATCAGTAAATTTGAGTGAAAACACATTAAAAAAAATGGTGACTATAAAAGTTTTAAAAGTAATGACAACCAGAAGTAGACTTTGAAATTAGAGAGGTAAAAGAAAGCAAGTACCTAGTCTTGTATTATACTTAAAAAAAAAAAAAAAAAGTGGTGGGGGAGGGGCAGGGGATTTGTAACATCTGGAAATTTGGATTAAATATAAATCAGCAGGTCTGAGTGACATGCATCTTGTCATTAAGGTAACTGGCTTTAAAAAGCAGAAAGACTTACCAAACCACTTACAATTATGTTTGAAAACTCATGAAGAACTGAGGAGGTACCAGAGGAATAGAAAAATACAAATGAGGTACCCATCTTCAAAAATGTAAGGAGGGTGCTCCCGGTGATTACCGCCTGGTAAGTCTAACCCGAATCCCTAGTGGAATAATGGAACAAATATTAAAAGAACAAAAGCCATAAACATTTAGAGTTTAATGGGCTCAGGAAGGACAGTAGCACTGAGACTGCTTTATTTTAAAACATGCTGTAAATTTTTATTTTTCGGACAAAATTTAAAAAAAAAAAAGGGTACACAGGGCAAATCTTTAATGTGCTAGATTTTAGAGAAACATTTGTAAAAATTCCATAAAATTTCTGTTTTAAATTATATTTTCAATCATGACTCTGTGTCATGATATAATGAATAAAATACATAGCTTTAACATAAGATAAATAGCAATAAATCAGATTAGAAAATGATTTCTGGAAGGGGTATTGATTAAGCATTATTTGAATTTGTAGGCATGCCTGGAAGGATGGACAAATGCATAGGTAATAAATACATCTACTATTATCTATAAGTATCTATGAATGACAGCAAATGTGAAAAAACATGACTACAGATAAATGAATATCACGTACTGATATTCATTCACATACTGATATTCACATAAGATATTACCACAGACTGACAGTGGAAAAAGAAAAATCAAAATAGGGCTCAAACCTGTGAAGGGGAGTAAATCTCCTGAGGGTAACCAGTGTGTTCAGAACTATCCTAGATATTTCACCTATGTTTTATCACCTTCTCACCGTAACTCCATGTATGTATTATCATTTTCATTTGACACATGTGGAACATGAGCCTAAGAGAGCTAAAGGAACTTGTCCAAGATCTCATAGCGACCTATCTGCAGAGCTCAGATTTAAGTAAGAGCATCTGACTCTAAAGCCCATGTTCTCCCTACAGAACCAGGCCATGCTGCCTGCTTTAGACTACTGAAAAGTAATTCCTGGTGAGTGGGAAAGCTGAACCACAGCATCCAAGGGAAGGGAGAAATGTAGATTAAAAAGAAATAACTAGACAATAGGCAAAGTACCATGTCTTCACAATCACACACAACAGAAGAAAACCCAATACAGTCTATCTAAATGGCCAGAGCAGAACATTTCTTTCATTTTCTCAACTTAGCTATGAGGAAGCTACTGTGGAGTTGAGACTACTTCATTAACTGAAAGACAGTGACTAAATAGAACACTGCAAAGAGCAGCAGTCAGAGAAGTCAACATGTATACATAAAGCTGGCTAAACTCTCTACACAAAAGAGTTTTTTGTGTCACAAAGGAGTGTTCACATAGGTAACTACAAGCAAGCAGCTTTGTTTGTTTGCCAGCTAGTGGCGCCCATGGCAATTCAAGCAAAGGAGTTAGATGTAAAGGAATTAAGATGGGCAAAGGGAAATCAAGATTAGAATTACATATCAAAGACACTTCTTTGGGGTCAAATTCACAAGGCTATGAAATAGTACTTTCTGTACTCCTTAAACTCAAGAGATGTTTAGAATGTAAGTTCTTTGATCTCAATGGCCTTGGTTGTTTTTTGTTTGTTTATTTGCCATGGACAACAGCTAGCACACCTAGGTCCTTGCTAAATATAAAACATTAAGTATCAAAGAACTCTGAATTCTACTAACTAAATACCAGAGCTCTTATTTCAAAACCACATTAAACAAATACTAGACAAGACAACCAGTAAGTTGTTTGGGGCTGTTTTTTGCTTTGTTTTTTTTTTTTTTCCCCATTTCTTGGATTCATATAAACCATGTAAATCACTTCATCAAAAACAGTAGCTAAGATTAAACTCACAAGGCTAGCTCTTGAGCTTAGCAGAAACTCCATCAGGGAATACAAATGTCAAAACAAATACACTGTCACTTTCTGCTAAAAAACCAGTAGTGGCAAATGAGATTCTCCCATGTTAGAACAGTGACATCTTTCAAGGCAAAACAGCAAACAGCAGCAGTACTTACACCATTACCCTAGTGCTTCAAAGACATGTTTGCTTAGGGTCAAATACTGCTAACAAGAAGAGGAAGAGGGCAAATGCTGGTCGTTAAAGAGATGAAGACAAAGTATTCTGTCTTTGTCTTAAAGCTAGTGTCTGAGACATAAGCAGTGGCAAAGCTTCCAAGGTTCACAAAACCAGAAACCACTCTCCATAAGAAACTCAAACACAGCCCAATACTAATGTGAAAACATTTCTAATATAAACCTACTGACAATAATGTTTCATGACATCTGAACAAAAGAAAGTCTGTTTGTGAACATAATATTTCCTTTCTGGATATTTTGGTCAAAGTAACAGGTAAGCCTCTTAAACCCTGTTCACTATTTAAATTCAACCGACTCCATCACAACATAATCATCACATACTCAAAAGTTCCCGAAACTTCTACTCTTACAGTCTACATCTCAAAAGACCTCTGTGCATTCATTTTCACTTCTTCTATATTATGTTATAAAACTATTCCAAAAGCAGGTACAAGAAATATGTACCAGGTACACTAAAGCTGAAAAGTTTTCCATTTGGCAAATGGATATAAAAATGTTTAGTCTTCACATGATCCTGTGGATTACTTACCTGTTTGGCATCTGATGCTGTAAGACACAGGAGAAGGGAATAAAGCCTTATCTCCTCCTAACATGTCTATATTTTTCCACCGCCTACATCCATGTTAAAAGAGAGGAAAAAATGATCTCTGAGCAGAGACTGAAAGCAAGTGCACTATACTTTGTACTTGGAAGAGTTGAGAATTAGTTACTTCACACACTGCTTTTTCTCCCCCGTGTATCTACTCGTTTCGTCTCACCACTGAGACACAATCCTACCAGGGACCAAAGATACTCAAGTGAACTGAACTACGGCACCTGACAAGCTCATTTCACGAGGCATACATACAACTAACCTAGTTTCTGTAGCCTATGAAGAGTGTCCTGCAGGCCACAGGTGATAAAGTCATGCCATGACTGAGCACTTAGCAAAACGAATGGGGAGGAGATTCTCTACCATTTGTAGAGTCCCCAGGCCATGAAAGCCAGCAGGCAGGCAAAGGGATCAATTCATCCAAGACTGGCATGCAGCTACCCCCAGAGTGAAACTTGGCAGAAACTGTGTTAAAGCTGCACGAAAACATTCACAGCTCTTTATACATAATCCTGTGGCTTTTGCCACAGATACTGCAAGAAACAATTTACAAAGGAATGTGATTCGCCAAATTCAGTTTTCTTAGTACATGTAGGTTAATCCTCTACTCTTTCTTATTAAAAATTAAAGAAAACCCTTTGATCTGTGATGATGTACTTGATCAGGTACAACTCTGTGCCTGGTTTTACTTCTAATCCAAGATAATACCCCTTAAACTATATAGCCTGTTCCACATCACACTACTAATATTAACAGGGAGTAATTCTTGAGCAAGAGGTCACAGATAGGCAGTCCTTACTTTGAATCCAGCTCAAAGACATGCTGGTTGGTTTGCAAACTTTGGTTTTGTTTTGTTTTGTTTTTTTTTTAAATTAAATTAGTTGCCAGTATTTTAAAATAAGATCTGATTTATCTTGACAGTAAGAAGATCTGACAACACTTGGACCACACTCATGCTTGGCAATGATCAGCTAGAACACATTTGCTACCCCTTTTATGAGCTATGCACTCTAGTTTATCAGTTACATTACTCAGCTGGGCTATACCTGGTCCTATTACTCATTTACAATGTCTGCCTGCCGCATTTGAGTTTGCAAGCCCTGTTCTAATGAAACTAGCAAGCAAAAGGAAGAGGCAGAGGGAGAATGGGAAGAGAAGAGGAAAGGGAAGAGTGGATGGCTAAAGTGAAGGTGTAGGAGGGATAAAGAGAAGGGCAAGGACTACACCCCAGCTATTCCTGCCTGCAAAGAGCTGACAATCTAGCAGAGGAATGTTGGACAAGTTAAAAGCAACGAGTCAGGGAATGTAAAGCAAGGCAGTGGAGAATAAGTAAATGTTGACATGAAAAGTAAAAGTCATGGAAGCATGGCATATAATGGGAAACAATCTCCAAACTTCTAAGCAGGGAAGATAATCAATCCAAGTGAGAAAAGAGGACAAAGGTGGCCCTTTTAGATAAGAAGGAAGCAGTGGAAGCTAGCCAGGCCTAGAGTAAGGACTGTTTAGATGACCAGGTGAATGCATAAACCATTAACTGACTGGCTGGGCTGCAATAAAGACGCAGAGACACTTAGACTGGGCACTACTCGATCGAATGATGTTTCAGGCAAGTCCAAGTCTCGTTAGGCACTTATCTCACTTAATACCCCCTGGTCATGCAGGATCCTTCTGAAGAAGAATCACTTCTGGAGAAGACATTATTTCAAGTGAGCACCTTCTTCATGAGATTTGTAAAAAAGGTAGCAAAGCGATAACTAGACATTTGTAGCTTTCCTCTCTGTGCCTTGATTACAGGTAAATCAATTTGAGAAAAAGGAGGTAATTTGTTTTTTAAGACAGAGAAAGGAAAAAAGGAAGCTAATGAGAAAAAAAAGGAAGCCAAAAGAAAGGGGGGGGAAAAAAGCAGAAAGTTTGTTTGAAAGCATTTAAAGAATAATCTATAAGCTTTAGCTGCCTAGAACTGCGTCTAGACTATGCCCGCATTCTCCTGCTCTCATAGACACGGCTCACTCATTTACATCCACCACCACTTTCCAGTAAGCCTCCACTCGGCTCCCTGCTCTCAATTTGCTTACCTGAGGTTTCTGGAAAGGGTTTCGCCGGGAAGACTCAAAGGTGGGGTAAATGGGTCGGGTGGATGCCCTCTGGGAAGGATCCTGGCACACAAATCCTGAATGGGGAATGGGAAACATTAAAACCTGCCATTTTCTAAGAAATTAGTGGGCTTAGTTGAACCTTTTCTTTAGATGTACAAAGTCAGTTTCACTGTCAGGTATTACAGAGATCTGTCCTCAAGAGGATTATGTATGAATCTCCCCATACACATACCACTTGAAATTCAAACACCATAACTGGAGAGAAGAAAGGAAAATACGCAGTTCAATCATGTTCCTTGCTGGGAAGCTGAAATGTGATTCTGATGAAAAAAAAAGATGTAGATATTTTTTTTTAATGAAGTTCAGAGTAAAGGTGCAAACAGCCATTTAAAAGCATATTGTTAAAAAAAAAAAAAACATTTTAATGTGGCTTCCTGGCTTCCTGGAGAGTGACTGGAAGATAATGCTGTTTTTATAGGAAGGATCCAGAAGCCAGTGAGGGGTCTGGTACTCCTACAAGATCTACTTCTAGATCCACTGAAGGTGTCCATAGATAACTTCTGTAAAGACATCAGCTTTGTAGATTATCTGCGGTTTAAGGAGTTAAGCTTGGGCTAATTTCACTTACTTTAAAAAAAAAAAAATGGATTTCCATCCAAGATGAACAGAATGGCTTAGTTTTACAACATTTGCTGGCACATCAAGGACAAGTTCATCTCAGTTATATGTTATTATGTCTTTCCAGGGTTCTTAGAACAACAACAAAAAAACCCAATAAACCACAATATACCCACCTGACTGCCCATGTCCACTTCAAAGTTTTCGTTTATTGATTCTAAAAGAGATTTCTCCACTGGCCTGCTTCAGTTCTAACTACTGCAGAAAGGATCGTGTGGCACTAGCCACGACCGTCTAGTGGAAATATAGCTGGTCGTCTATCTAAAGAAGCTCCTTCAGGGCTATCCCAGCTGGGACAAAATATACTTTCTCCAGATCTCTGTTTAATTCTCTTCCTCCACTCATGATTCCTGTGCCCTGGGAATTAGGTCTCAGTCCTAGTTGTGGTTCAGCCTCAGGACAGGATGGAGCCAGGGGGAGCAGAAACACATAAACACTTCCCTAAAAATATAATTTTTGAGTACAAAACATTCAGCATGACTAAGGAACTGCCAGTTGGCAACACCTATAGAGCCTGACAAAATGGATGCTCTGGTTAACTTTTATGTGAGTTTCCAGAAAAGCTGCTACTTACCTACAACAGTGAACATATCTGAAATCATACTGGCTTTAATCTTAAGGTCCAGAGGTGCATCACTAACAGAATAGAGAAAGAAAAGAGCCATTGATGAGTCTGTAAATGAACAGAATAGCTGCCCCTTGCTGGCCCCAATATAGCAAAGCTTCCAAGTGTCAATGAGGAAAAGCACATCAAGCACATCAAGCACATCAAATCCATGGAAAAAGAAATCTGGGCAAAAATACTAGAAATAAAAGTCTGGTGTTAAACTCACTCTCTGTCAGGCAGGCCCCTTTGCAAGGCACTAACTCCCTAACATGCCGTCTTTTTATTCCAGATAAATTGTGCAATTCAAATTTTGCACAAGTCAAGAACACTGCTTCATTTTCACTGTGGATTTTAGAGGTTCAGATATGCTGTTTCATGAGTGTGTCCATCACTCAAATTATTTCTTACTGATGCAATAGGCGAATCAAATTCATATGCAAGTGGAGAAACTTTGCCATCTTTGTTTTTGTTTGAAGGGTTACATTTTCTGTTCTAAATAAACATCTTAACTTTGCAGGCTTGCAAACGAGGGCAAAAAAAAAATACAAGTTACACCAAAATATCACCAGATGATGCAGCGGAAACTCGCATGGAAACAGAAACAATGAGGACTGACAGCTGGAGTCCCCACGTGGCAGTCACCACCACTGGCTGTAGTGGCGGGTACTCCTCCTACACCGTCAGTCGCCGTGGTGACTGGACCCCATGAGTCATTCTGGGCTCTCTAACCCGTGATGGGCCTTGCTGGGCAATATACTGAGTTAATGAAAGCATAGTGCCACACCTGGAGCATCTGTAATACTTAGCTCTACACCTCACTGTTGAGGCTAAGCCAGAGTCCCGCCCCACAAAGGAGTCAATCTGTCTTTATTTGATCCCTCGGCACTGTGCCAACATTTCTCATCTTTAAAAATGCAGTAGCTGGGTGGTCTCTGGCATAAATCTCCAGGGTTCTCTAGCTGTTTAGAGAAGAGTATAGCTAATAGAAATTCTGGCTGTAACTGCAGATATAAGCAGAAACTTCCCTGGCATTTAAAAATAGGTTTCTTTCTTCCTGTTAGGTAGGTGAAAAAAAAAAATTTTAAGACTAGTTTTTAGACTTTAATCTTGGATGGATACCAGGAAATGGACAGAGCAAAAGGACCAGGTATTATCCTTACTATCCAAGGGCCAGCTCTATACCTTTTCAGTATATGTGGACTTGGGTCTGCATAAACCTTTAGTAACAAAGGGAGTATAGTTCATTTGTTTCATTAGCCTACAAAGCTTTAAAAGAGAGAGAAGGAGCTCAAGTGAAAATGAAAGCAATATCCCTAAAGGCTGTAACGTTAAGACTGCAAAGTGATGATAAGCATCCATGGTTGCCATATGGATTTTGACAACATCCTACAAATCCCCCAAATTTAGCAATTCTGGTAACACTATCTAATAACCAGGGGTTAAAATCTCCTGGTGCCAAGAGAAATGACCCAAAGTATTTTAGTGCTACTAAAGGTCTGCCTTTTTCTAGTTAATGGCACAGACTTACCAGGCCAAAGAAGGAGAGAGGTTCACTTCCAACAGCCAGGGCTTCAGAGAAGAATCTATGAGTACGTCAAAGCCATAGAGTTCTAGAAATACAACATAACACAATGCACAGGATCATTTTCCATGTCACAACCAAAGACCTGGAAGAGTCAATCAATTCCCATTAGAGACCTAGAAACATGCTAAGTAGATGTAGAGGCAGAGAATCTTTCAACCGAAATTAATCAAGCTTAAAGGATAAGAAAACAATGGGTTGAAAGCCACTGTTTCCTCACGCTATTGACAGACTCAAGAAGAGTTTAACAAAGCTGATTCCAGTATGCCTTTGGATTAAAAAATGGGGAGAGGCCCTCCCTTGTGGTGCAGTGGGTTAAAGCACAGCACTAAGAAGCTAAGAACCACTTCAGCATGAGTACAATGCCTGCTCAGGAGGTGACCCACATGGCGCGGCAGACCTCTCCTGACCCGCCCGCTGCTCCCCTCAGCAGTGTAGTTCATCAGTCGGCCTGTTCTGCTCCCCACTCTGTCTCTGGTGAATCCTCTCATCGCCCCTGCAGCACTGGCCTGTACCCCAGTTCTTTTTGCATAAATAAATCTTTTTTTAAAAAATGGGGAGAGGAGGCCCTCCCTGGTGGCGCAGCGGGTTAAAGCACAGCACTGAGAAGCTAAAGCCACTTCCGCATGAGTTCGATCCCCGCCTGCCCCGGAGGAGACCACATGGCGTGGCAGACCTCTCCTGACCCGCCCGCTGCTCCCCTCAGCAGTGTACTTCGCCGATCTGCCTGTTCTGCTCCCCACTCTGTCTCTGGTGAAGCCTCTCGCCACCCCTGAGCCTCTGGCCTGTACCCCAGTTCTGTATGAACAAATAAATAAATCTTAAAAAAAAAAAAAAATGGGGAGAGGAATACAACAAGTTCATTGGTATCAGGGCTGCCTGGTCTTCCTCGCCACTTTCCCAGCATACTCCAGAAACAGAAAAATCTACTGAAGGCATCTCTGATATTTTTAAAAATCAAGATTTTGCTTTGGCAAGCTAGATCAAGAACATCTAAGTGTAGAATTCTTTCCCCCCACCTCGGGTTTTAACTTCCCTTTGAAGATAGAAAATAAAATGCACTGGCCCAACACGGAAAGTGAAGAGGGAGCCAGCGGCAGCAGAGCAGGACGGAGACCAGCCCGCTTGCACCTCTAATACCAATTTAAAGGAACTAAAGATCAAATTTCCATGGCTTCTGGATTCCTTATTGATTCTCTCCCTTTCAGTCCCCAATTGTTGCAAAGAGCAGACTTTTCTCCCAGGAGGAGGGCTGACAGGTACAGGGAAAGCGGAGTGGCTGAGGTTTTTTCCACCTCCTGCTCTGTGGCTGCCACCTGCAACCTTTCTTTCCTGCCACATGGTATCACGCTGGTGCAAATGGCACTCGGGAGCTTGAGCATGGGGCACATACAGACCCACAGGGCCCAGAGGTGCAAGCATGTAGCTCTAAGTAGGGACGCCTGGGGGAGCTCATTATGCAGGACAGCGTAAGGGAGACTGACAAGCCAGAGAAAGAGCACTCCTGGCCCCACTGCCTCCCTGCACGCCAGGATCCTCTTCATCCATCTGCCCAAATCCACAGTGAACATGCAGCCCTGTGCCTGGTTGTCATACAACAGGTTAACTTCAAACTTTAGATGTAATCTTTAGTCTTCATAGTTTTATTAATAAGCAAATGAAGCTTACAAATGAGTGCAGTAGTATGCAATCCTCCTTGGTGCGAATATGCCAAACACATCACATTTTCCGAGGTCTACCTCATCCCCAAAGACCCCACTCCGTCTCCCAAGTGAACTGTTTGCACTGCTTTCCAAGAGGAAACACTAGCTTCCATGCAGTTCAGCCAAACGTCAGAGGTCACACCAACACAATACAACCAGGCATTTTCCAGAATTTCACTTTGAAATGAATTTCCTTCAATAGGCTTTTTTCATGTTTCAATTCTCTTGAAAACATAAAGAATGTAGATTTCGAAAAAGGTGATGCCAAAGATTCTCTTCTAGAACACAGGAAGAGTGACATGGTAGCAAGACCCCAAGAAGGGGCATCGAGAGACCTGGGCCTTCCTTGAGACTCTACCAGCATCACTATGGAACTTGAGGAAATCATTTTCTTTGTCTCATATTTCTTTAGCATCCTTTGCTTTCCAATATCCTCTCTATCAACCACCTTTTGTCAACATCCTTATATTCAGAAAGTCTATCTCCAAGGTTTCTACTTATGCAATAAGGACCCGGGTGGATGTTCATATTTGAATTTTCTCTGGGGAAAAGTTCCCAGAGATGCACGGTTTCTGTAACAACACAAAAATCATACATTACCTATAATTTAAGCCATAAGTAATAGAAGTTCCCTCAACTTTCTTCTTTTCGTAATAGATTCATAGTTTTTACAACAAGTACACACTTCTAAATATCTTACCCAGACTTCAGTATAATAGCTAAAAGAAAGAACACCTTTCTTTTAGTTGTTTACATTTTAAAAGGACAGGCTTATTAGGAAAAGAAGACAGAAAGAGAGAGGCACCTGCTTAGTCACAGGTGGGAAGGAGAGTTGCTGCTCCTGTTTGGCAAAGGGAAAGGTTAATTCAAAGAAAACACCTGCATGGTCATAAGCAGGCAGGAGAGCTGCTGGCAATACTTTCCGTTTAACTGGAGAAAAACCTTTTATGCTAAATTGTGTAAATTAACATTACACAAGCAAGGGAATACAATGTGGATCCGATTCAAGAAAAATCACATTCTCCTTAGTTTTTAAAAACTGAAGCACAAGTTTCAACAGTTTCCTCAAATGGCAATATTTTAACAATATGAGGCACAGGGGTGAGGATGATGATTACTGCATTATCGATCAGGTTTGCAGAATCCTGAAGCCAAATTCAAATCAGAACTAACAATCAATGAGACACCCCTCACCCCCAATTAAACACCTTTCATTAAGGAGCCAACAGTTCCTTAACTATTTCCCAAATTCAGAGACAAATTCTAAGCATCCTAGTTTAAAGGCTAAGAACCGATATTCTGGGAAATAAGAAAAATATATGCCCTAAGAGAGAAACACTTCCCAAAGTGCCAACTTGATTTTTGTGTATATGCATAAAACATATCAGTGCCAATCATCTTCAAACAACTAGCAACAAATGTTGGCGAGGATGTGGAGAAAAAGGAACTCTCCTGCACTGCTGGTGGGAATGCAAACTAGTACAACCACTATGGAAAACTGTTTGGAGGTTCCTCAAACTGTTATACATGGAGCTTCCCTACGATCCAGCAATCCCACTCCTAGTTATCTACCCAAAAGACACAAAAACGCTAATTCAAAAAGACACCTGCACTCCCACGTTTATTGCTGCTTTATTTACAACTGGAAAAACATGGAAGCAGCCCAAAAGTAGATGACTGGATAAAAAAGATGTGATACATATATACGATGGAATATTACTCAGCAACCAAAAAAGAAACACATGTCTTTTGCAGCAACTTGGATGGAGCTGGAAAATATCATGCTTAGTGAGATAAGCCAGAAAGAGAAAGAAAAATACCGGATGGTTTCATTCATAGCAGAAGTATAATGGACCAGGCGAGAAAATAACAAGAATAATGAACAGCCATATACCAGAGACATTTTGCAGGGGTGCAGGGGTGGAGTGGGGAATGGGATCAAAAATGGGGGGGGGAGGAGGGAAGTGCACGGGATTATGGTGATGGCACAAGGGTGACTTGGTGATGGGAAACCCGCGGGGATTACAATTGAGATGGAAAAAAAAATGTACAAAATAACATAAAAATAAACTATTATAAAAAAAATTGAATCCAATTGTATGCTAGAAAAGTATCTTTTGTTTGGAAACAGACTGTAAGCAAAAGTAAATTTAAAAACATAAAAAAATTTTTTTTTGCTTCTTCCATTTTCTGCTGATGACTTTCTTCTCACTACCAAAGACCATCCTGCAGCTAGTCACACCTCTGAAACTGTTGATCACCCCTTACTTATTGGAACTTTCTTCTCCCTTGGGTTCCGAGACACTGCTCTCTTTTGATTCTCCTCCTCCTTCCTCTCCTTCTTTCACTCTTCTCTTCTGCCCAGCTATTCAGTGATAGGTTTACACTAGCCAGTCCTCTATAGTCAAGCCCCACTCTACTCCCATGACCTCATCTACTGCTATCTGTCCTTTTACAGACTATGTTGAGTCACACCAAACTGTCCATTTCAAATAAGGAATGTCACATCCTGTCATGGTACTGCGATTTCCATGTCACAGTCAGCCCATCTTCTAGTAGTGACTTTCCCTGGCTCCCCTAGGCAGAGCTGGCAATTCTTGTGTATTTCTGGAGCACCTGAATCACTCTATTACTTGTACTGTCACTTAGCATTCCATCTGCTTGAGAGCTCTGTCTCATTCATTATTATATGCCAAGTAGCCTACACCATAGACAGCACACAGGAAACAATCAAGAAAAACTGAAAGAAGAGACAAGAAAATTTTAAGTGAAAAACACTGTACAATTTTTGAGAAAGGCAAAATAATTTGTGGTTACTATCTCAAGTAACCCTGACCAAAAGACTTGAAACATTCATAAGGCTACTATGGTAAGGGAAATAAGAGAAATTCTTATTAACAGTTTTAGATATCAAGGAAAACTTGATAGATGATGATTTAGGAAGGGAGGAGGGTGAAAAAAAAAAAAGGCTTGACAGAGAAAATAATAATGCATTCAAAGCCTAAGAGATTACTAAACATGTCATACCACTATTTTTGGAGTCAATCCACTAACCCTCCTCAGAAAAAAAAAAAAAAGTCCCAGCTGAAGCTGTAATCCCTGAGGCAGTGGAAAGCGCTGACATTAGCCAGTACTTGCTGTCATTCAAATGCTATTGTATAAAGGAAATTCTTTTCACCTTGGCTTTGTATTTGAGTTCAAAACTTAAGAAGGAAGTCTTAATCTGGAATCCAGAAGGAGAATTTGGGAAAATAGTACATCAAGATCCCATAGGAAAAATGAACTAAATAAAAGAAAAAGTCCAGAGTCAATATGTTAACCAGTCCAATAAATCAATACGCTATCTGGCTACCATGTGAAAAGGTAGATGTGAAAGGAGTATCTACAAGGAGGCAGAAAGAATGTCCCCCCTTCCCCCCAAGGCCTGACTGATAGAAAGTATGACGTCATTTTTTATGAGATCTGGTTACAGGAGAGCAGAGAAGCTAGAAGTCCATGCCAAAAGTGGCTGGACTCTTCAGAACTTGCCTTTAAATGGGCAGGAAAAGAGCCAGCGAGAGGTGGCTCCCCGAGTTGGCTTTGTCACTTATTAACCTCCAAAATGGTCTAGAATGACAGCAGTAAAGGGCCAATGTGGAGCTCATTCAACAAAGAGGTGTACTGATCATGGTGTGTCCTGAGCAGAAGTGCACTGGTCGCTAACAATGGCAGTCAAGTGGCATGACAACTACTTCAGATGATCCCAGGATGGAGAGAAGCAGTGTCACAAGCTGTTACTCCAGCCCTCCTCAGACACACAGATAAACCACTGTAACAGCAGCATCTGCAGAGGACAGTTCACATCCTGTTGTTTTTGGCTGTTTTTCTCCCACTAGTCAAAGAGCTGTTGCCATGGTCAGTTATCTCACCATGTCAGTTTAAAGAGTTGTGTAAGCACATATTCCACATGGCACATTTTTACAATTCAAGTAGTGGAAACTAGATCATAAATAATCTGTTTGAGTGACCCACATTTAGTAGCATCGCCAATTCCACACAAGAGTCCTCAGAGATGGCTTGATCGCCACAACCCATCTTCTGGGCCCGCTTTCTTCAAGCTGAGCTCTTTCATATACTAGCCTGGCAAAACCTTCATTTCCCAGGGATTCAGTTTCTTTAGATGGACTGTCTCTTCTCTGAAGTCCTTCCCAGAGGTATAAATTTAAGGAATGGCTGTACACCTAAGTTTCAGGTAATTTGTGAGGGCTCCTAAGTTTACATTTAAATTCTAAGAATATAACGCAAGCATTCGTATTAATTATTCTGTGCAAAATTTAGTTTGAAAAGAAGAAACTTTTACAATCTACACCTGTACAAAGCAGGAACTGGGGGGAAAATTAAGTGCATAAATGAGGAAATGAATGGGAATACTGAAGCTACCTGCAACATAACTGGACATTACAGATAGTGGGGTGGACAAGAAATCCAGAACAGAAACTTAGTCATAGAATGCTCCTTGCAAAGAGTATGTGTGGAAGAGCAGAAACAACAGCAATAGAGTCACCACAGAAACAATATTGTGGACCCATCCCTGGACTCCTGGCTTCCTCTAAAAGCTCCGGTCCTCTGTTGGAGCAAATTATTCTGGGGAGCTCTCAATTCCTGTTTACTCTAAAACAAATGGAAGGAAGAAGAAAACTCTAGCTTATTTCTTGTAACACAAACCCCAGGGCAAGTTAGGGATCCGTGGGAAGCAGAGACACACAAATATACACATATATAAAATTATACCTGATGGTGGAGGCTAATGAAGCACATAAAATCCCAGGGCTGACAGGAAGTGGAATTAGAACCACCAAAACCAAAAAGAGTCAACAACTTAAAGAAACTCCAGATGCCATCAGTTTATTATAACTGAACACCAGTAGGGAGGGTGACAGGAGACCCAGGCTGAAGAAATGGACTTAGAGGGCATTTCACTGAGTCAGACAAAGTCATTGCTTATTTCGCCTTGGTACATCCTATTGTCATTAAGTTCAGGACATTCTTAAAACTTCTGATAGGCAATCAGAAATAAAAATGACAAATGGCAATCAAAATAGTAAAAGACACATTGAGAAAAGCTTGTGATGATTTTTCGACAAAGATTTTCACATGAAGAATTCTCAGAAATTTACCCTCATATAAAAGCCAACTGATGTGGGAAAGAAATGTTCACTTCTTTCATAGAGCTTTGGAAGTTGGAGTTAATATTCTTTGTGCTTCTTCCTCAAATTCTAAGGAAGCTCCCTTAAAACTGCAGTAATTCCAAGGCCCCATCCAGACCAGACCCAGCGGAAGCTTTCTGGGAGACCACCAAAAGCAAGCACCATTTGTTCATTAATAGTTCTTTTCTAACATCCTCTAAGAGAGAGGCAGAAATGAGGGACATGGCGGCGCTGCCCTCAGGGAGCTTCCAGTGTAGTGAGGAAGGCGCACACGGAACTAGGGAGCAGATGGCAAGCTGGGACTAACTGCAGATTATGAAGTGAGTGCTGGGACAGGGGGCGAGAGGAGATCTGACTCTGAAGCCCCAAAGACGTTGACTTCATCTTGACAGCCATCAGTAATCTGCTGGGGAAAGGAACACGAGAAAGGTATGTCAGACACCTTCAGCGTCAGGTATATGCTGCGGAAAATAGACCCTGGCATTCAAAGACCAGGATAAAGGTGGTACAAAGGTAAAGGACTAGGAAAGGATCTGGATGACCCAGGGAAAAGGTGAAGGTTCTGGTTTGGCAGAAATAGGCTGAGAGGGGAACAGTGATTACCAAGAATTGAGGAAGATGGGTTCAGAGACTCCAGGGAAGTACATGTGTACACAAACACCACAGGACAACAGGAAGTGAGCAGAACACGTACAGGCCATCGGGAACGCGCAGATCCGACAGTGTGCTTTGTCAGAGGATTCCTGGAAGGGGCAATGTCAGGCTGAGACTTCGGATAGGAACAGGAGGGTGCGAGACAGACTCTTGTTTTCTAGCTGCACGGAGAATATCTGCAGAAGTACAAAGGCCTCCAGAGGGCTCCATGGCACAACTGCACCAGCAGGAAGAAGAGGGGGAGATTCTGCAAGTCAGCTGGGGTCCGCTCCTCAGGCCTTGAGGGTCACATCAAGTTTCTATTTACAATGAACTCCTTGAGGTTTCAGAAGATAAGAATGTACTTACATTTAAAGAACATATCACAGCCTGTCTTTTCCTATTTCATTTTGGTCCTGGCACAGTATCTGCCATCTTTTATTCACAGTCTCAACACCTCCCTTTTTTACTGCTCCTTAAGTGTGCACTGCTAAGATAATCTCTTGAAAAGATCAAGAATTACAAAGTCTGATCAAAAAGATAAGAAAATCACTTTGTAAACTGAGTACAAATGAAAGGTCAGACATTGTGCCAAGTGCTTTGCATGCAACATCCATCGCTTGCTCCTCATGGTACTCTTAGGAAGCTGGTACCATATTCTTTCCATTTTACAGTTGAGGAAACCGGGCTGAGTAACTTGCTGAAAATCAGAAAACTAGTCCGAGGTTTCAAATTATGTCATGTTCACTACTTTCCTATCACCCTGATTCCTCAGCAAGCCATGATGCTGAGACCTTACTAGTCCTCGCTCCACCCCAGGCTGTAATTCTCCTGACCCCCAACAAACGGTAGGGATTTGCCAAAGCCCAACACCTGCTAAAAGCCAGTGCCATTACACACGGTGATGACTTAAGAGCTGACATCCACGCAGGAAGCTCCCATGCCCAGGGACCCCAGGAACTATGGCCACAGCTAGTGGGAGTCAGCAGGCAGCGGGTTTCCTGGCCCAGGAATTGTGATCTGCCTCTCGGTTTCTCTGTGCAATCAGTGAACCGGGATGGAAGAGCAAGGAAGTAGAAAAGGAAGGGGAAGAGAAGAAAGGGGAGGGGAAGAACCCACCAGAAAGAAGACTAAAACAAAAAAGGAGGAGTCATCGGAAAATGGGAGAAAGCACATACTGGTACCAGCCAGAGCTTCTTGGAACCGTTCCCAGTCTGGCTGCCAAAGAGCTCTGGAATATATTTGTGAGAGTTGGATTCCTGTACAGCGGATTGCAGACTTGTCCTGATTGCACTCTCACAAAAGGACTCACACCTCAGTTCCAACCCTGCTTCCCACACAGAAAGCTAGTGGCCCCTCAGAGGACCTCCAGCTAAGCTCAGCACTGGCCTTCGAGTAGGACCTTGCTATGTGGGCTCAGAAAGAAGGTAAGTCTACCACACAGCTCTCCCTTCTACAGAATCAGTAAGCCTCTCCGCCCCAGGATTGCACCCCAACTTCCCAAGACCCTTCTCACAAGCACATTAAGTTTCTTGCATCTCCTTACCAAAACAACTGCTGCGATGAGGAACAAAGGTTTTACAGGCTGTAGCAATAGCTAGTTCAGCAGAGATTATGGTCTTAATGATCAGGTCTTCTACGTGGGCCATTAATGCTACAAAAAAAAAAAAAAAAACAAAGAGACAAGAAACAAATACTAAGACACATGGATTAGAAGGACTGGATTCCAGAACACAATATAATTATAAAAGCACGTGTGTTCATTCCAAACAATCTGTAAATGGCATTCTTTTGATTGGGTGCTACGGGGAGAGCAGTATCTCTGCACAAGTTAACACAGATGAGATTGTAGGTGCTGGTGGATTTGCTCAGATGGCCTCTGATGACAAAATCCAGACACAGTGGCAAAGAGCCTTCTCACGCTTCCTTTTGTGGTGAAGTGGGCACACTATGTCCCATTCTGCTCAGATCTCGGCAGTCACATCCATTTAGACTCTGGGCCCTGCACTCAAACTCAACACTGCCCATCCTCCAATTCAGCTGCATGAATGAGATTAACTTAGAAATAAATTGAACTCAGGGTTAACACAGAGACAGGCAATTTGTTATATAAAATGCTGACAGTATTTTAGGCTGCAGTTTAATACTCAACACAGATAAATTCACTGAAGATTAAAGGAAGAAAGTAAGCCTTCCAAATGAGAAATAAAAAAAAAAAATTATTTTATTTCAGGAGTTGTAAACTGCAGATGAAGCTTAACACCAAGAACCGGACCCCACTGCCCACTGGATGGCTCAGGGCACAGTGAAAGGATTCCTGGTGAGAGACAGTGGCCAGCCTGTGCAAGGAGGTGGCATCGAGGGGAAAGACCCAGTACTCACCAGTTGTATCTCTGCCTTCTTGTTTCAGGTACCTAAGCATAGCACTCATGCTCCATTTGTTCCCATAATCCTCCACTTCTGGATCATCACAACTAAAACAAATTAATGAATCAAGGTCACATAAGGCAACTAGGCCTGGCTGGAGAAACAAGTTTCTTTACAAATAGCTTTCTTGTCCTTTTAAATCTTTCAAAAAGACCTTGCTGACTTCCACTCCCCACTTTTACTTGGTGCTTTCTGTCATTTATTCCTTTGTACCAATTTCTTCCACTGAAATGAAAATGCATATAGCAGCTGGACTTATTGGGAAGCGGGGGAGGGGGCAGGAGGGAAGAAAAAGGGCAAATTCTTCCTTAACCAAACAGGCATCATGAAACAGTGGAAGAAATGTGTGAAAGCAAGTAAACAAATTGAAGAGTGGTTACAGTATATTAATAGATTGGATGTTCGGGGATACAAGCCGAGCCTTTGAGGTAAATGTCACATGAGCCCACAAAACCACCTCGGGTGCCATTTTCAGACCAGAGTTGAGCCTGATTGGGCCAAGTGAGCTAATCTAGTAGAGATTTAATGAGCTAACCCAGCAAAGAATTATTTTAGCATCTGAAGCAAGCTCCTCCTCTCTGGTGGTAGACACAAGTTTTGGGGCATTTCTGAAGGGAGCATGTGGGAGAGTGACAATAAAAGTGACGAGGTACACACCACTATGGCAGCGAAGTGGCAAGTGGGACAGACACCCACGAATATGGCAGGCTTTGAGAGTCTGGCATCTGTGTTTTGCGGCCTTGCCTTCACCTCCTACCACCACCCGGCTGCCCACCAACAGTGCCTCTGCTCATCCTCCACACTGAGGGTTATGAGCTCTTCAACCCATTCCAAACGCTGGCCACAGGAGCTCAGTGCAAACCATCGAGCATGGCAACATGGCTCCCCTACCAGATTCTTTTCTCTCCTTGGACCTGCTAAGCACCTATTTTTAGTTTGAGCAGAAAGTAACTGTTTGGATTTCTTTTTTATTTTTCCACTTTCTGGCAAAATTATCAGAATGAAAGAAAACAGAGCAAAAGGAATATTTCCACACAGCTGGGCTGGTCCTCCCTTTCACGGAATCCTGCTCTGAGATGGCCTCATTTCTTTATTTAATATACTCCTGCTACCCTACCCCACCCCCCACCCCCAATCATACAAGTATTTGTTTTAGACAAGTTTAGAAAATAAATAAAAGCACACAAAAGAAAATTAAAAACCCCACCCGTGACCCCATTCAGCACTATTAACATTCTGGCATATATCCTCTGAGTTTTCTTCTTCTCCCCGGCCCCCCTCAGCAAAAAATAAAAGCTTTAGCCATCTCATATATTCCAAAAATAAATAATTGCATATGGTAGCATCAGGTAATCTGCTTTTTCCACCAGAACTGTACAGTAATACACTTGACCTCTGATCTTCTGTGTACATTCACCATTATTTCTTTTTTTTTTTTTTTAAAGATTTATTTATTTGTGCATACAGAACTGGGGTACAGGCCAGAGGCTCAGGGGCGGCGAGAGGCTTCACCAGAGACAGAGTGGGGAGCAGAACAGGCAGATCGACGAAGTACACTGCTGAGGGGAGCAGCGGGCGGGTCAGGAGAGGTCTGCCACGCCATGTGGTCACCTCCGGCGCAGGCGGGAATCGAACTCATGCGGAAGTGGCTTAAGCTTCTTAGTGCTGTGCTTTAACCCGCTGCACCACCAGGGAGGGCCTCACCATTATTTCTTAAAGCTTAATTCCTAGAAATGGAATTGCTGGGTCAAAGGGTATAAATATTTTTAAGCATAGGACACATTTTGCCAAATGCTGCATGACCTCATTTCTTGACTTCCACAGAGTTCCATAGGCCCCCTGAATGCCCACCTCTGAGTGAAGTCAGGAGACACAGTGAGGAAGGCAAAGCTGGGAAGCAGCAGCAGCTATGCCTCAACTATGCTAAGTGACTCTGACCGGTTTCTGTAAATTCCATGGACATAAATGTAAAGCCTTCCTCTAGCGCAACATCTCAATTTTCTACTTCTACATCCACATCGGAGACTGACTTCTCTGGCTCCCCGCTCAGATGCAGCCAATACCTGACATAGTCTCCACTCTTCTTATTCACACTGTAGTTTGTAAGGTGCATGAACTGGTTCCGAATGTTCTTGACTCCTTGATCATACCGCACAGTTGCAAACCTAAAAGAAAAGACATAGGTTATTAAAAGCCAGGAGCAAGGTTTCAAGAAAAGAGCTCAGCACCCATGAGACAGTAGTAATCAGAGAAGGACAACATTTACAAACACTGGGTGCTTCTAAGAGCAACTCCCATACGATGCGGTTCAAATACAATCGCACATCTGATTCAACTTCAGAACAATCCTCGGGAAGTGGTAAAATTATATCTAATTTTAAAAATAGATAACAAAAATATGTGAGCTTAGAAAGATTAAGTAACTTGCTTCAAATCACACTGACTCCAAAACTTATATCCTTAACCATGAGATGCTGCTTCTCTTATATAGAACATTAGGCCAGGAGAAAGGACAAAAAACAAAAATAAAATCATGTCACAACTTTCAAGCTGGGAAACTGTGTGTAGAATACAACTGTGTAAAGGATGACAGGGCACTACTTGGTCAATAAATACAGAAGTGTCTACCCAGTTCCTGGTATGACAGCATTCTCTGTAAAATAATTAAGCAAAAAGAAAAAAAAAAAAAACCACATAATCATATGTGCACTTAAAACTCACATCCACAGAAATAAGAGAACTGATATATAAAATTCATTTGAAGAAAATAAAATGACAGCATTAACAGCAGAGGCTTGGTCCGCAGGAGAGCATAAACACCAGGATAGTGCAGGCAACTATTCCTGAATTTGGAATGAAGGCACAAAGACCGAGGGATTAAATACAGAGCCCACTGAAAACAGGGCCGCAATCTGATATCCTGGACTATTGTCAAAAGAAGACCAAAATGCAAAATAAATGTGCCTCTGAAGGAAGTAACCAGGGAAAAAGAAAACTTTCCAGTGATGCTCAACATCAACAAAAGGATATTCGAGTCGAATGGTTATGGTAAATATCAACCCCTGTTTACATACCACTACAACCATATCACCCTCCACCAAAGTGGTTTTCCCATGAGGCACATCCAAGTGTGTGAAAAAAAAATCCTGGAAGGCCGCAAGTTTATTTTCATATGATTTACAAATTATTTACATATGCTTACTTCGATGATGAAGTCAACATGATATTTCACCACATTAAAGGAGAGCATTAAAAAAAATTTCCTCTTCTCTGTTTCTTCTCACCCACCCACTATCTCAACTTCATAATTCCCAAGAAATACACAAGGAGACAAATAAAGAAAAGTGAAAAATACTCAGAGAAACAAACAAAACAAAAACAAATAAGCGTGCAGTCAGGAAGAAGGATGCTGACAGAGAGAAAATGTTGAACAAGCACACAGAGATAAGGGATAAGAATTTGATGAGCATTCATTAGATCCATATATAAGAAAGATCCCAGAGTTTCTAAAAACTTCTAACAGTTATCACCTAACGCCCAGTCAAGTTACTACACAGGGAGCAAATCTGGCCTATATCGCCTAATCTTCTCCCACAAAGATTCTAAGCACAGGGAGCGCACACCGGCCCGGGGAGCGCACACCGGCCCCACGGAGGCTGTTGGCCTCACCCAGACATTACCTCAGTGACCTATCACCTACTACTCTCTCCCCAAATGAAGAATGATCTAGCAGAGGGAAAAGGTTCTGCTTCAGAGACAGAGGTTTTTCATCTCTCTTGCATGTAAGTATCTGATCAAATTTGGTCAGCAACATGAAGAGACCGTGAATGGCTGGCTATTAACTGCAACCTGGCACCCGACTCATCCATCATCGCTACACTCCTCTTTTCAAGAGGACTGCATCCCTGAAAAGTAAGTTGTCCGCTTTCCAATCTTGCTTTCTGCTGGGGAGTTTAGGTTTTGAACTCCAGCAAGCATAACATTATTAATGTCATGGAGTGGGCTTCAACAGAGAATAAGGAGCACTGAGAATTTGAGGGGGGTAGGGGAAAAGACAAAACTTATGCTCAACAGGAAGGTAACACAAAAGGTGACTTTAAAGCAAAGGTGCTACATTTCATTTTATTATTATTTTTAAAAAATTACTTACTTATACATATAGAACTGGGATATAGGCAAGAAGTGTGGGGGTGAGAGGATTCACCAAAGACAGAGTGGGGAGCAGAACAGGCAGATGTGCTAAAATACACTGAGGAGGGTGGGTCAGGAGAGGTCTTCTGCACCATATGGATCACCTCCCTGGGTGGGGATGGAACTCATGCTGCAGTGGCTGCAATAGCTTCGTAGTGTTGTGCTTTAACCCAGGGCACCACCAGGGAGGGTCCCTGCTACACTCCATTTTAGTAAGCCAACAGGACTACAGCAGACCATTTACACAAGGAAAGAAATCCGTGTGTATTCATCTTTCCTCCTAACCTAGGAAGATTTTATCATTCTCACTATATCCATATTGAATTTCCTTTCTTTTTTTTTTTTGCTTGTCGGACCAGAGGTCCCAGATTGAGCCTACTAGTCATTTTTTGATGGACCCACAAAGATTTTATCGATTTTCAATTTTTAAATCACTTTTTCTTAAGGTCACGGTTTGTAACAACATACAAATTTCAGGTGTACACTGTTCTATTTCAATACAGCACTTTCTTAAACACTTGAATTACTTTGCCGACATTTAGAAGTCGAAGTCCTTTACTACAGCTCAGCAGCAGTCAGGGCCCATGTGAGAGATGGTGGACAGGATGGAGAGGCAACCCAAGACAGTATAAGGAGCTTATCCAAATAGTGTGCCAGTCCCTTTGTTTCAAAGTTCATACAAGGTGAGCATCTGAGAGAGGGCAGTGGCCAGGGAAGCTGGGAGATTCGATTTATACAAAGGAACTGAGTAAAGAAATATATTGAAGATAATGAGAGACAAATTTCTTATGCTTGGAGAAAAGAGATCTAGAAATATGGGAAGGGTAAAAGCTAAAAGGAACCCTTCAGTTATGAACTAGGACTGGAAGTACCAGTATGAACGCCTGTATGTTGTAGCATACAGACACATACGGAAATAAGCCCAGATGCAAATGTTTACATGTATATACATGCACTTCCTAGGTCTGACGACAAGGGTCTACGAGCAGCTAGCCCGGTGCACTGAGCAAACAGAGGGCCCAGAACTTGACAACTCTCCATCAGATAACCAGTATCCGTGGTGAAAATGGCTGTTTGCAGGGCTGAAGCAAAGTAGGAACAAGGTGAGCCTAAAATATCATGTACTCAGAGAAAAAAGGGGTACTACCAAAATCAGTCCAGTGGCCAGACCTGGGGCAATTTGACCACTAAAGGAAATCATGACAGTAAGGATTACATCCCATAAATAAAACAGGAATCCGTGAGTCCACATTCGTATTAAATCAGTAAAAGGACACATAAATAGGATGGGACATTTTTCCTTGATCGAGTCTTCCTTACTAAATGAAAAAAGTAAAAGGACTGAATGATGGTATTAGGAAATCATCATTCAGCAACCATCACGGTAAAAATTCATGTCAGCAAAAAACATGAATGGCTATTAATATTGGGTAAAAATGAGATGAGGAATGAGATTGTACATGGTCTCCAAGTATCTCTCATAAAGTACTTACTAGTCACAGAGGGAAGCAAAGTGTTACAGTAGAGAAATCTGGCAGACATCACCTTAAGCAAATGGTCAAACACCACTAAGTGGTTCCCATGTGCAATGAGAAGGTCACAAATACAAAGGTCATAAAGGTGAGAAGTCGTTCCAGGCCCAAGGTGAGTCATGACAATTAATGTAGCTGTGTGACCCTGGATGGGACTCTTCTGTCACAGAGAACATCAATGTGACAACAGGCAAAAGTGAATGCGGACTCTTCATACTGTGTATACTGCTTTTCTATATGTGGGAAATGGTTCCAAAATTAAAAACTACAAGTCTACAAACAAGGGTATGTTTCTCAACAAAAATCTTCACCTTCAGCCTCTTTAAAAAACCACAAGATCTGCAAAACAAACAAAAACCCACTAAGATCTGGCTAAATACCACCTGCTTGAGTGTATTCAGGCTGCTCTAGCAAAATACCAAAAGCTGGGAGTCTCATCTACAACAGAAATTTATTTCTCAGGTCTCAGAACAGAGGAGAGGGCTCTCTTTTCATTGCCAATCTGAAATCCTGGGCACCGCTTCACAGCCTACGGATTTAATAGGGAACTATTAAGTGCACTTTTTTAAACATACCGAAACATCTATTGTTTATCTTTACCCTGACAATATTTTCACTCTGACAATAACTCACAAATCAAAAGCTACACTCCTTTTTTTATTTCAATTGTTCCTCTTTGTGAATTAAAACATGGGTAGTTGGCCTAAAACTCCTGAGTATCAGAAAAAAAGTTTCAGCTGTACTGGATAAGCATAACAGCTTGTTCCAGAAACTTTATCAATATGGGAGCAAGGAAAAAGCTTGATCTTTTCCCCATTCAAAAGCTATTTTGTGCACCTTGGTAGTGGGAAAACCATGGTGACAATATGTGAGGGGGAGAAGCCAGCATTATAAAAAAAATAAAATAAACAAGGATGTTGAAAAAATAAAAAGAAAATTTAAAAACCACCAAGGTTTAAAAAAAAAAAAAAACTTGATCGTCTAAGAATATGTCACCAGAGTCAGATCATGGCGAGGTATGCCTACTTTGAGAGCTACACATCCCAACATACATGACCAACAAATACAGGAAAGGAGAGAGGAGGCCAGCCAGGGGGGGCTCTGGCCGGACACGAGTTATCTTCCAGCAGGTGTAGCTATTCGGAGCCAGAAAGGCCTGGAGGACGAAGAGACAACACCTCAGGCAGTCTTGCCAGGAGCCGCTCGGTTTCATGCTGGCCTGACCCAGAAAAGTCTTATGGAAGAGACCAGGAGGCCCAAGAGCTCTCTGATCTGCTGTCAACCAGCTGCAGCAGGGAGACTGCCAAAGTGCTACAGTGACTACGCAGCACCCTCTGGAGCCGTCTGGGAGGGGATTACCAGCCTGATCCCTGTCTTTAGAGCCAGAAATGACTCAAACTTCACAAACAGCAAGGGCCTGCCAGGGAGGGTGACAATAAGCCCTGGACAGGGTTTTCTCCCCCTTGTCGGTATCTCGCCCCCCTCCCCTTGCTGCTGTGGCAGATTCTGGACAGTGTGCAGCCTGTGAGGTAATCTGAATTCCTTGGCAGCCAGCAAGCACCTGAATTCTTTCAAAACCACAGGAATCCAGCAGAGAAAAGGTAAATATCCCCGCGGAGCCAGTGTTAATTAGCAAGGAAGGCTACTGAAGAAGGAACTGAGGTGGGGAGGGAGGGAAGGCCCTGCGAATGCTTTGGGGTCTTTCCTCAATTTCCACTAGGTAACATGGCTGAGGCAGAAAAAGGCTGTCCCCGAAGGCGGCCTTCTCCAAGTCTTCTGCATCCACCTCCAAGTGTGGGTAGAACTCAGTTCCCTGCATGGATTTCCCCCACGTTGCTAATGCAACCTATCTTCGGCTTTCAACACCTTTGGTTTGTAATTTAATTTTGCTTTAACTCTATATTTTTCCTGTTTCAGGGAAAGGTTGGCTATTAGCTTAGTCTCAAAAGAGGAAGGACCTCATCAAAGTAATTAAACACCAGAATGGATCCACCTAAAACTGTAAAATTCAGGACAGTCTTTCTGGATTCCACCTCTGACAGGAAAGAGAATCTACACCATTTTGGTAGAGGAGTACACCCCTCTCTGGAAACTGAGTGTCCCCTGCTGGTGCAAAACAGCAACCTACATGTGAAATTCAAAAGTAGGGTGGTCCTCTGTCTGGGACAGAATGCTGGACTCAACTACCAAAAAGACAATCTTGCTTGACTTCTCAGGACTTTGCTCACATACAAGAAAATAATCAGTTTTCCTACTTCGTGCATTAAAGAAACATCAAAGACAACTGAAACTATTAGTAGAGAGAAGCTATGTAAGAGCTTCTAAACGTCAGTAAATTTAAGTGGTAAGGATTTACACAAAATATTTATTTCACAAAACTGTCTTGTGAAATCAACTGAACCTGTCACCTAAGCATTTATTTTGAGGCCCAAAACAGAAGCGCTATGGATAAAGACCTCTTTTCTAAAGAAAGAAACCAATTACCTTTGCTGCCAGCTCTCTTTAGGAAAAGATTATGGTTTTCCTCGTTGAACCTCAAAATAAAATAGCCTAATGATCTCATCCCGAACATTATCTTTAGTAACGTCTACATAAAACACACGTGACCCCAGATTAGCAGAGGCTGCAGATCAGGAGATGTTATGGACTGTCGTTGGATGGAATGACACAGTCGAGCGGGTTCTGGGGATTAGAGAGAAGCAGATGAATGCCAAGATACACAATGAGTTAAGATGCAGTTACTTAGACACTTGGAAATCACTGTGCAGAGCAAGGCACCCTCCTAGGACTCTGGCCATCAGTCTGCCATACATCCATGCACTGCCCTTTCAGTAAAGCACTGTGTTCACCTTTATCATTAGGTAAAGCACAGCCCTGAAAATTTTCTTTCTGGGGGCTTCACTTATGTCTGAGTTTTTAAAAAGCTGTCTTCCAAATTATTCTCAAGGAATGCATCCTTCACACACACACACACACACACACACACACACACACACACACACAATTTTAGCTCCTGCTGGAGTCAAAAGAAGAGAATGACTCAAGTCAGTGGATTCTGACTTCAACACACACCCAACAGCCAAAGCACTGCCTATCTATAGCATGTTCTATAATAAACATTGACATTGTTCTCCATTCATTTCTAAACTACTGGGGCCTTAAAACTATGTAAAATTTTACCAACAGAGAGGGCTTGCCAATAAAATCAGGCTATTCAACTGACTTGAAAACAGCAATTTGCAAAGTACACTGATACAATATCCTTGAGAACCAGTGAGCAGAACCTTGATGTCATTTCATTATTTTAAGAATCAAATCTGCAGCATAGGCAACAAGGTAAGTGAGGATGAGCAGGAGGAGGAGGATGGAGAAGGCCATGATATATAAGAGGAAAGGATCAGATATCTCCAGCTAGAAACAGAAAATTCTCAGTACTTCCTATACCTAAGCAGAAGTAAGGAGTACTGGCTACCTTCTTTGTATTCACAATGACGCGTGTCTACTCAGCTTTTATACCAACACTTCAAGGTCTGAGAACACATGTGTCTACAAACACTGAAGAAAACTTCTTTCCTACAAAATTTTGACTAGAGCTAATGATCAGCTTGTGCTCAGCTCTGTACAGCCCTTTACCTAACAACTGAGAAATGTTTCAGTTTTCCCTCTTCCTCAAGTTTCAAGGACCCAGAGGCCAGAACTAGGGAGCTTCAATAGCTTCCACTGTTCACAGGGTTCAAACTCATTAATCTTAGTTAGGACTGTGACAGGGCTCATAAATGCTGTCACTGCCACCTAGTGGTGACGGGAAGACACAGCTCCAGCAGGTAGGAGCTGGCTAGCCTGGTCTATTGTAGTTAAAGAAGGCATCTAATCTGAGTACAAGAAACAATTAAAATATCATCTCAAATAACAGTTGTGAGAGCATGGGAGTATGTGTCAAGGCACCTATACTTAAATAAGGAGACTTCTTTTATCCATGGCACTTCCCGTCTTCAGAGTGCATCTTCTAAAATAAAGAACTACATACAGACAATACTTTCTGACTTGCCATGACTACTCACAGCTGCAAGCAAGCACCTTCTACACGGTGATGCTCTGTAAGACCACTATGCACAAAATGAACTCCAGGGAGTGATAGCTCTTAAAAACATAGATTCGTTTTGTGGGGGGAAAGAATACAAGCACAATAAAATTAGGTGCTCAGATTAAAGAATGGAAAGTGTCTATAAAAAACACTGTCACCTGCAAGATATGGACGTGGGAAAGAAAACTTCAAACTATTACACTAAATGTAACTTAGTAAGTAAACCACATTACCTTAAGACCTAAAATAGACCTAAGAGAAACAGAATAATACAACCACTGTAAAGTACCTTACTTTCAGTTTAAAAAAAATAATAATAAAAGGCCACTGATGTCCCTAAATTAAAATACAAAAGGGCAAGAGACAGCTTTCAGGTCTTGAACTCTAGAGTTCAAATTCCTGCTCTACTACCAGTCCATTGCAAGATCCTGGAAAAGTGACTTCAAGTTCCCTTATCTCTCTAAGCCTCCGTCTTCTCAACTGAAAAAAGATATATCAACTATTGTTGTGAGCATTCAATTAATTGCCTGATATATATGTGGGCTTTATTTTTTTCTTGCTAGATCTATTGGAAAGAGGACAGTAGCAAATTATTTTAATACCCTGGGGTCTTTATCACAATTGCCACTGCGTAAAAATACTGTGTGATCCTGGATGCTGCTGGGAAAGGTCTGTGTGGTTATTCATGTGTGTGGATAGGCAAGGGAGAACCTAAAGTGATATAAAAAAACTGACTTCTATAACCCAGGAGTGAATATACAAAAATAAACAGCCTAACCTAATGCACTAGTTAGCAGGCCTAGTCTGAGCTGTAGCTCCCACGCCCAGAGTCTTACCTAGCCAGTCCTTCTTCATAGAGATAGATGACAAGAGGATCATAGGAAGTCACAAGCACATAGAGGCGCACATCAAACTTGAAATCTAGGAGGAAAAACAATTGGATTCACAGGAAAAACTAAGTTCATCTGTTTTCTCTTCAGAAGTTTACAACAAACAAAAATGAATGAACAGTTCTTCGTTCTCCATGAAACACACACACAAAGAGTCCATTGTTCTGGCCTTGGGAGATAGTTACTGAGCAACACAGGTATATACACATCTACAATTAGTGTATGGTTTATGCATACACATGCACATATGTAACAAGGGTAATATGTGTGTTTATATATATTTGCTACAGTACGCCAATGAGGCTGTTTCTTTTTTACTTTCTCATTTCATCTTCAAAACATTCTCATGAGGTAGGTAAGAAACCAGCCTCATCTCTGAGGCATGGTCACCACGAATTTCCAAGTGTTTAACAAAGACTTACTAGGGAAGATTAAGAAAATGTTGATTAAAAACTTAGCATGATAGAGCCCAATCAGCCAAGGAGTTAATCACAACTCACCATCTATGAGCAGGGGGTTGTTAATGTAACGGGAGACCAGGATGTTCTCTTCCAGGGAAATCTGATTTGGCTATTGAGAAAAGAGAAAAAAATGAAAGGGCAGAAATGCAAAGGTGTCCTAACCAACAGTAAGGGAAAGGTTTTATACCTTTTAGAAACAGTTAATGCAGAAAACCAAGATGCTAAGGAAAATTTTCCCTCAGGCTACCCATATTTTTAATCAGCTACATAATACATCACTTCCATAAACACAGTGGGCATAAAATTACGAGGAAAAATTAATACACACAGAAGGGCTTTAAAGATTTATATGCATGGCATTACAGTTACATGCCAAAAAAATAAAAATTACTTAAAAATAAATTAAAACTTGCTTTCTTCCAAATGTAAAGTAGGATGGACAGTTTAAGATATTGCCATTGGTTCTTAAACGAAGGCATTCTTCCAGTCGCCTGGAGAACTTAAGCAACAGGTCTTTCCACAATGGGTCTCAGTGCATTAATGGGGTGGGTGTTTCCTTGATTCACTCAAAGGAGCCTACTATGTAACCACAGGCGAGACTGAACTAGATCTTTTAAAGGTTTTTCCTGATGAAGCTATGTACACAGTCCGTGGGTACTGCTGGACACTGTGTGAGACACTAGGGACACCGTGGTGAAGAAAGCAGACACAATGCCAGCCCTCAGCTGCCCAGCCCCCTTCTCTAGGTAGAGAGGTTGCCGGAGCACGGTGTGCGGGTGCAACATGGGAACACGCAGACAGGACCAGGCCTAAAGACCCGCCCTGGGAGGTTCGGGAGAGGGTGCTGAAAGCTAGCAAGCACACAGAGGGAAGAGGAGGAGCGCCTCACAGGAAGGCAGCACCCACAAAGCTCAGTGGAGAGGAGAGAGCAGGCATCCTGAACTGGGGCTCAAAGACTGAACTGGGAAAGAACTGAAGGCACTGGCAGCAGGATGTAAATTCTGGCACAGGGAGTTAGAGGTAACATGGTGGGAAGCAGGAAACTACAGTGGACTCTTGATTAAGAAAGCAGTATGATTTAAATATCTGGAACTGAACACTTCTAAGTGAGACGAGAGAGAAATCAGCTAGAAGTTACCACACTCCATATAGGAAGGACAAGCTGATGCCAAAAAGGGAAGTGTCTATAGTAATAATTGTGATGACAATAGCTACCTTAGCAGCAACAGAGACAATTAACATTGGCAGAAAAAAGTAAAAATAAACGCACCTAACATTTGCTCTATGCCATGTACTGTTCTAATTCCGCTCCAGTAGCACTGAACATATCCCTCACCCGCTCCACGCAGTAGGCAGATCACCATCTAAATATTACAGACGAGGAAAGAGGCAGAGAAGCGCAGGGTCTGCTCAAAGCCACACAGCACACACAGTGAAAGAGCAGTCTGAACCCAAGCAGTCTGCCTCAGAGGCTTTACTCTTAAGCAACACTCACCTGTAATAACTGTCCCCCAAAGTCAAAAGAAGTGTGTCTTTACAATAATGCAAGTGTTATGCCAAATACTATTTATTATAAAATGAGGTTGACTTTCTGACCCTGTAACATTAGCCACATGCACAATGAGCAATTCTGGAGACAAGATACTGAGATGCGGCTCTCACTTCCCACTGTGGTCACCTTCAACACAGAACACACTTTCACAAGCCGTCTCCGCAGAGCTTGGGGCTCTGTGATATCGGCCCTGACTCATGCTCCCAGACTCAGCCAGCCACACCATTTTCTGACTCCTTGCCTTGAGCAGTTTCTCATAAATACTATCTTCCTTCTGAGTCAGCTCAGTGTGTGAGGACTGATGTGATCACAGCACAAAGCAGTAAGCTGCAGGTTGTGTTCCAAAATCAAACAATGGCAGCTTTCTTCCAACTGGTGACAACTATAAGCGACAAGAGCTGTATGTTCACCCAACTCTCCCCCAAGCAGGATACAAGGGCAGCAATCTTCTGGCCCATCCACTTCTTTTCTTCCCTCCCTCATCCTTCACCTTTGTCCCCTGAGAAAGGCATAACACAACCTCTTACATTCCTTAGGTCACTTTAGTATTTGCTCAAAGGTCTGTGTCATTTCTATTTGCATTAGAAATGCCAACTGTCAGCTCAGAAAAGAAAAGAATAGCTTGGGCAGGCAGAGTTTCTCCTGGATTACCAGTGAGCAACTCAAGGAGCTTTCTGGTATTTTCAAGTGTGTTTCCTTCGCATCCATCCCCAATGGAAATCATGATTTCCATTCTAAGCTCAAACTGCTCTCCGAAGGGTGCTAACACAAGACTCTGCCCTTGTTGGGAAAAGCTGGAGACACATCCACTCTTCTAACTGGATTTTAAGATTAAACCTCAAGATATCTAAAAGGTGTCTTGCTGTAAGGTAGAGCAAATGGTACATAAGTTAAGAAAGTGAGGTCTGGAATCAGCTAGACCTGAGTTAGAATCTGACTTGACCAAATTACTAAGGAAATTACAGTAATGTGAAAAGATAGAAAATTAAATATGATCAAAATATTAGCAAAAAGAAAGCAGAAGCCAAGAAAATGGGTGGAGCCCTCTGTGAAGAGCCAACATGAAGCCCCGTGTTCCCCAGGCAGGGCCAGCATGAGCCCCGGAAGCCTCCCCAAAGCTGTACAGAGATATCCCCCTCACAGGTATTTTTCTTCTAATGAAATCTTCTATCTCCTAAATTTTTACTTTCTCACGCACCACGCATCAAATTACTCACCACTGGCCATGAGTTAGTGTCATTGACTGCCTGGATATTGACACCAGCCCTCAGAAACAAGTTCCACCATGAGCTTGTCTCAAAGTGCCCACTACCCTGGAAACCCCATTTATGTCCTTTGTACAGTGCTGCACAGTGTTTTTAAGTTAACGACTTGACATAGTTCTTATAAAGACTAAATGAGATTGGATTTGGAAAGAACAGGGATAGGCACATACTAAATACTTGGGAAATAACAGTTATTATTGCTGCAAATTCAATTGTATCAATGTGATTCTACCCAGAGTTCCACAACCAAACAGAACTCCTCTCAGCCTCCACACCCTATTCTACTTGGAGCAAGGCTCTGAGCTGTAACAGAGAAAACCGCAAATTAGCACATCCCTATTCCTCAAGAGGGAGTCCCTAAGTACTTGTTGAACAATGAGAAAAGGAGAGCGCACATAAGCTAACAGTATATAAACAAATAAAAATGAGAGCTGTACAGAATTTTATTTACAAATTTAGGAATGAAGACAGTGACCAAATTCCTCTCTTCATAGTACAAAATCTCAGGGTAAATACTAATATTGTATTTGCCGTGGATAATGTGTGAGACAAAGAAGACTAAATTTAACTACCATAATCAAATTCATACCTTCATCAGAAAACACCAGTTCTTTCCCCTCCTTGATTTTAATATACTAAATTGGGAAAATATGGCATTTAGTCATGGTTACTGAAGGAGCTGGAGCAAACACAACTCTGTTCCTTGATGCTGGATTTCTAGAGTTAAACCAAAGAGCACATCATTAAGAGACGGCATTCACCAGTGCGCTGAGACGCTTCCATCTGGAGGAGCGCCAACTTTTCTCCTCAGTCTTACATAAAAGTAATGCTTTTTCTAGTCTTTATCCTGCTCTTGTAATGGGATAAGTTGCTATTTGCAGACATTTTCCAAAAGGTTATAACTATGATTGGGGATTGTTAAGAAGAGGCCCTCTCATGCCATAAGAAGACAAGATGTTTTCGCTTGGCCCTCACACCTCACTGCCCACACCCTCTCCCCACACGGTCCCTCCCTCCCTCCCTCACATTAGTTCTGCTCCAGACTGGCCTGAACACCCCGCCCCTCCCCCTCCCATCTGAAAGGAAAGCAGGCAGCAGCCCTGGAAACAGTTACTTCATCCACTTGGCTAATGGGTCACATATTCCATGGGAAAGGATCCAGGTATGGAAAAGAGGGGATGGTGAGTGTGGAAGGAGGAGGAGAGTATTAGCTACATGGTTCGCAGGTCTGGGTAAAAGGTGAGAGAATTCCAGTTTGGGAGTGAAATGGGAATGTTTTCCCATTATGTCTAAGCTGCCAGCTCCCCCACCCCCCAGTGCCTGCTGGCATCATCCCAGGCTTCTGTCTGGCACCTCTACCAAATACCTCAAAGCATCAGACTCATTCCAAAGCTTCATGGAGGGGGCAGGGGAGACAAAGGATCCTGCCAAGTACTTTGATCTACGCAGGGGGTCTCTAGGGATTCAGCCCAGGGAGAAGTGGGAGGGAGAACAGGAGCCTGCCAAACACATTCTCTAAAGACATGTCACCCCCTCTATGAGACACAGCATCCAGGGAAGAGTGAGGGTGCAGAGTTCTCAGCCCCACCAAGGAAAGTTTAACTTTTCTATTCTTTATGATGTTGGTTTTAAAGTAACAAATCGTTGGGGCAAAAAAGCATTCAAAAAGAAAAAAAAGTCCCAGATGAGTTGGGAATAGATCCTATTCTTTTTGACTCATGTCTAAGAAAATAAAAGTAAACTTGTACCACAGTTGATTTTCAATCGCAATTCCATTTGGCAGTTACATCCCAAGCCCAAACTAGAGCTGTCTATGAGATTCAAACAACACTGGAGCTCCTGGCGTGGAGCTGGAGGAAAAGCTGTTGGACAGAAGCCTTCACGCCAAGGTCAGAATGGACTCGAGGAAAGAGGTCCAAGGCATCTGACCTGGGCCTTGAACCACAGGAGACCCTGGATCTTGTAGGCCTGGGGCTACAGCAGGTACTGCATCAGAACCAGTACAATAAAGGACTGGCCATCAATGTTTACTGTACAGCGCCTAGCCCACACTGAATGTAATGACCTTCCAGTGTAAGAAACTCTGCAGACTGTTACTTTCCATACGTACAGGAAATGCTCTGAGCACAAGCACGTGAAAGCAGTGGATTTAGGACTGAGTTCTGACAACACACAATGCAGCTGACTCCCCTTCCTCTTCCCTTCCACAGTCTCTCGGCAAGGACAGAGAAGATATTTTTAAAAGAATGATAAGGCTAGAAAATAGTTAAGAAAGACCAACAAAAGACCAAAAGTTTGAGGAAATCCTGAAAGATAGAAAGCAGATGGGATCAGGTTGAGAAAACAGAGCACAGGAAAGCCCAGCCCAAATATCAGAGGTGAGAGTGATCTTCCCAAGGAGGCCTCTGAGAAGGTTCGCAGTGAGTGAAAAAAAAGAAGAGGAAGAGTGGGCCAAAGAAGAAGAACCAGACAATTCATTGCAAACAGGATTCTGAACAGTAAGACAACTGAGCCTGGTTCAATACCCAAAGCTTTGCCCTCAGGAAAACCTTATTACAATACTTGGGAGGACATCCTGTGTGAACACAGGGAATGGAACTTGAGGTTGCTCTATTCCCTACCACAGATACAAAAGAAAGGTACCTGTCCAAGAGAGAAATCACCAGAATCTTACTTCGCACTACAAGTCCTGCCCTATTTTGGTAAAGGGGATGTTCTTTACCACGTCCACCAAAGGTGAAGATACATAGAATTCTCAATCAGTTTCTCATCTAGGAAGAAATTATTAGGGAAACCCACACCAGCTGAGAATTACATTAGTCTACTCTTTCATTCAGAAATATGACTCAACAACTAAGGTCAATGAAATTGGTAAAATCCAATAGTAAGAGAGAAAGGCAACCCAAAGAAATTAAAAACAGAAAAAAATTTCAATTGGTATCCTCGGGAAGACCAGCAGGTAAGTTAAACAATAGACTCTTATCAAAAATTTTTTTTAAAGGCAATTAGAAAATGAGAATTTCTGGGAACTCTGACCACCCATGTAGAAAAATAGTGGCTGGAATGAATTATAAAATGGATAAAGCTCAAGCAGGTGATCCAGAAGGTGAAGGTATGTGAAATCGAAGAATTAAAAATGAGAGAAAAGTTAACATGAAGATCCAGAATGCCTTAGGAAGGAATTTAAAGGTACAACAACTGGATAATTTCCCCTGAACTAAAAAAACACTGGTTTCTAGATTGAAATCAAATGTCTAAGAGGAAGAATGAAAACAGACCCAGACTTCAATAATGACTAAGTTTCAGAATTCCAAAACTAAACCTTTCATTGATTTAAAGCATTGTACTCAACTTCATTTTCTTTAAGTTTTTCCATCTTCCTACTTATCAACGCAGCTAAATCAATAACTTCTCACTGCTACCCTCATGCTTACCAGATTGATAAGGAGAGTATATATAAAGCACAGTTTCTGTATATTATAGTGTTATTTTCTACTTCAGGTCAGTTTTTGTCTGTGTGTGGTAATATGTGTTATCGAATACAATTATTATTGTATTTTTCATACAATAATTGTATTATTGTATTGTATTATTGTATTGTTTACCCACAATAAATTTTCTGATTTGGGGAAATAAGCAGAGTTGGTTTGAACTGAAATTTTTTTTTTGCTCAACTTATGAAGCAAAGAAATTGAAGAGAATGTGAATGTTCCAAACCTTTAAAATACAAAAATAATGAAAAGTAATATGAAAGGGAGTGAAGGAGGTGATATGAGTATAATAAATATGAAACTGGGAATTAACAAATACAATCTAACATGGGGAAAAGAAACACATCAACTATAAGAAGCTATTAGCCTTATTAATTACTTGTAACAAGTCTAGAGAATGAGACTGGGTTGGTCTTTTATTTATTCCATAATACGCTACTTAAAAACAACTCACAGTGAGGATTTTGCAAAAAATAATGACTGATGACTTTTAAAAAAGAAGATGAGGAGAAAGCGCAGAAGCAGCAGCAGCAGCAAGGAAGCTTTACCAAATTAGGGCTCATTTCCTCACTGACCTTGAGGGTGGGAACCACAGTCCTACTCAATATGGAAAAGAAGTGTACATACTAGCAATTACGAGTTAGTGCTCAGGAATGATCGCGGTGGTACCATGAAAGTAGAAAAGGCACCTCTTTTCTGCTGACAACAAAGGGTGCTCTCCTCCCTCACTGAATCAAGGGACTTTTTAGCCAGAGTAACAGCTGGCATGGAGGAAGAAGACTGCTGCCAGGAAAGTGAACAGAAAATAACAGCCAACTCATACGCCTCTCAACTCACACTTCAGAATGCAGATCTCAGGAGAACACCTGCTCTGAATGAGCAGGAAGCCTATCAGTAGCCTCGAAAAAGGGTGAAGCAGGGAAGGACAATGAAAAAAGTGTGGGGTGCTGCACACTTAAGGGGTTCCGCATACTTACGTTGTTGATCAGGTAGACGCCCCGCCCTCTAGAAGAAGCCACTGGTTTTACTATCCATGGTCCCCGATCCTTTGAATATGAATCTGTTCAAAACATCAGGAGATAAGAAGGAAGAGAGAGAAACAAAGAGAAAAAGGAACATGACTTTATTGTCTTAAATTTCAACTAATATTATCTACTGAGGTTGACAAAGAATTTTCCAAATTTCTAATTGGAAGGCAGTAGCTAAAATAGACTAACCTTCAAAATGAAAATAGGGCCCTCCCAGATGGCCAGCAGGTTAAAGCACTGCACTAAGAAGCTAAAGAAACTTCTGCATGAGTTCGATCCCCGCTTGCCCCAGAGGTGATCCCCATGGCTCGCAGACCTCTCCTGATCCGTCCACTGCTCCCCTCAGCAGTGTACTTCACAATCTGCCTGTTCTGCTCCCCACTCTGTCTCTGGTGAATCCTCTCACTGCCCCTGCACCTCTGGCCTGCACCCCACCTCTGTATGAACAAATAAATAAATCTTTAAAAAAAAATGAAAACAAAAACAGAGAAGGATAGGAAGAGAGACAAAGCAAGAGGAGGAAAAGAAAGAAGAGGGAAGGAGAGGGATGAAAGGACAGAAAGAAGGAAGAGGAAGAGGAGGAGGAAATCAGCAAAATTACAACAAATTCGGTAACATTTATTCCACCATTTCCTCTCTTGAATGAGGGGATGAAAACAAAATACAGTAGCTATCTGAATATAAGTCTACAACTGTCACAAAACCTCATGAATCTTTGTGACTCTCAGCTCCATTAACTACAGAAGCTCACACTGCAGACAGTGCAGACAGTGTCGACGAGGATCAAATCCAGGCCTCCTAATAAGGTTACTTTCCTGAAGCAATTTCTCTGTGCTTATTAAAAAAGCAAAACAAAACAACACACACACACTAACACATTTTAAACAATGTGCAAGTAAAGAGGAAAAGACAACAATTTATAAGGGATTCAAAAGTGACCTTTACTTTGTTCCTTTCCCAGAGTCAGGTTTAACTTTTAATACCTTTTAATCATGGGGAGAGAAACCAGACAACTGATGCTAAGATTCCCAAAGGTTTGCACTGGCTCTGTCCCCAACTTCAGGAAGGTCTGCAGACGTGGGCAAGAAGCAGGGCAAAGGACTCTCTCTGATCAGAGTGGGCTTCCAAGGGTCCCCAGCAGAAACTACTAGACAATGTCAGTGCCTCACACCACTTCACCAAGGTCCCGCTGGCCACTATTTCCCAGTTCACCTGCTTTTTCCCTTACTGCAACTTTAAGTAGAAAAATGGAGCATGCCATTCCCTTCCCTAGGAACCTACCTCTGGCTCTGTGCATACATTTGAGAGATGTTACATGTTAAAGATTATTAATATTGTGTTGTTAGAGCAAAAGAGGTCAGTTCATTAATACACTACATCACATATCTGAGGGGCCAGCAACCTTTTATAAAAAGCTAACCAATAAATAACGAAGGCATTTTGGACCATGCAATCTCTGTTGCAACTAGTCAGTCCTACCACTGGGGCTCAGAAGTAGCCATCAACAACATGTAAACAAAGGGTCCCGCTATGTGAGATAAAACTGTATGGACACTAAATGTCAGTTTCCACAGACCACAAAACAGAATTCTCCTTTTGATTTTTTTTTTTCAACCACTTAAAAAATAACAACTATTCTTAGAAACAAGTGAGAACCAGATTTGATTCACGGGCTGTATCTGTAAGATCCCTGATCTAGTGCTGGGACACTGAGCAGAGACATAAAATGAGAGAATTATTAATGAACAAGCAGGGAATCTCAAAGGCAGGCAGGGAGTAGGGAAAAAGCAGCATGCGGGGCAACTGGCATTTTGCCAGATTCTGAGGAGACGATGATTGAGCATAGAAAGCTTACTCATACCGACCAAGACATGGAAACAACCCAAGTGCCCAATGATGGGGCCCGGATGAAGATGTGGCGTACATACACAATGGGGACTACCCAGCCATTGGCTATGATTTACTAAGATCTCTTACAGTCCCAATGATTCCATAAATTTGTGGGATGCTGTGAAATCCAGACAGCTGTAGTTAACCAGCCGACAGCAAAATTTTGTTCATTCTTTAGAGTCATCACTGTCTCTCCTGCAAGTGAGATGGCCACAAGACACCACTGTGGGACTAATTAATTCACAGGACACCACTACAATGCACGGAGATCTGCTGGGCTGCTCTCACTTTCCCAAGACTAGCATTGTGGGAGCTTCTGTTGCCTTTTCCTTCCTGATTAGAGCACTGTCCACTGGGGGTGGGGGGTGGCTGGTGTTGGCAAGTGGCCTTAGTTAAACTCTTCAGGGCCACAGACATCCAATTCTACTATGCACTGTAATTAGCAACAAGGGGCACCAGGAGGAGTCTAGAAAAATCTATGCATGTATTCCAACCTCACACTCGAATATTGGGCACAGGTTAAGAGTGTCCAGTTTTTCACATCTCTTGAGCTAGTGGTTGGTCTCTGGACTAGAATTTTACACAGAGATGGACTTAAGATAATCTTTTTTAAGAACAAATAGCTACAAATTCAGGAGATTCACCTTGGCTGGCACATCCAGCATCTTTAAACAATCCTCACGTCGATTATTTATCAGGTCCCTTGCAAAGGCCCTTCCAAGGCTATCTCCAGCCCTGTCTGCCCCTCTCAGACACCCCAATCTCCCCCTAAGTCCCTCTTTCCAGGGTTGGGGCCTCATCACTCTCCTTACCAAGAAGGCTGGGAATTTGTAACAACAACCTACCCACCTGCCTGCCTGTCTATCTAAAATTTTGCTGGGCCATCACCTGGCCTTCATCCTTCCTCCTTTGAGGAGAAAACGTGTGCACCATCTTCCCAAAGGTCACCTTCTCTACATGGGCTCCTGACTTAACTGCCCTGCCTTCTGTGGGTCCCATTCCCCTGCTCACAGGTCCCGCCCTCTGACAGTCTGTTGTGCTTCATCTTCTTCCTTCTCTCTCCCTTGGTGATCACATCTGCCTTTATCCCTGCAACATCCAGAATCTGTACCTCTGCTCAGAGTTCAAAACTGCCTTTCAAACTGCCTACAAACATGATCCTATGGAAACCTGTACCCATACCTGACCCAAAACTTAACACCTCTCTCCACCTTTAACAGCGCTTTCTGACTCTCCTGGTAACAATCACTGCTTGAAGACGTATGATCCTCCCAGCTCCACACTCATACTTTTCAGTGATATTGGCCTCACTAGTCAAGGTCAATTACTTTATTCTTCCACTCTTTCCAGACCCTCCTTTCCATTCTGCTTTCCTAGTTTGGTCATGTGCCATTTCAGAATAACCTTCCAGGTTAACCTTTTTGTTGCTTTTCCCTGCTCCTTCCATTTTACTTGAGGCAGTTATTTTTCTAAAGTCCATCTGTTCATATCCCTTTCCTTCTTAAAGATACTCTAGTGCCCTCTCGCAAGTAAGCAGTGGAATGTCAGGAACAGAGAATGATGGAGAAAATGGAATGTCTGAGGTAGGTAGAACAGGCAGGTGGATGCCAAAGGCAGAGAGGGGAACAGACTTTACAAACAAGAGCCTCCTGGAAAGAGGAAGTGTTAGGAGTAGGCGGGTTTCCCTGCTAACATGCAGACTTGGTAACATACTTAGCCTAATGATGAGATTTCTCCCAAATGGTTCAAGTTTAGAGATCAGGGACTCTGGACAACTAGCAAAGCAAAGACTGGCAGGCAGCCTGGCGAGACTGAACCAAGATGATTCCTCTCACATCTCCCTCTCTGCTCCTCCACAAACATGAAGAGCCCAGTGGTGGCCAGAGCCATGAGTGATTTGCTCTGAGGAGTGAGGAACACTATATGCCTGAGCAAAATGACCCAGAGCTAAATGTGGTAGCTTCCAGTTATGGCTGTGTTCATTCTACATGTTCTACTGACTGTCTGAATTCATTTCTGTGAACAAGTGGAACATGTAAAAGTTAAGAGTAATAAGCTGAGATAGCAGTTCTACTGAAAGGCAGGTCACACGAGCCGACAGCGGAAGTCCACCGCCATCCAATCATCTCAATGAGCACTCCAGCTTGCCCCCAAAGCGTGGGGAGAAACAGTTGAATAAGAAATAGCAGAGAAAGGGGAAAGGGAATTTTCCACTTAGATTCCATATATTTTTATAGGGCTAGGGCATTACTCTGGACTTTAACTTCTCATTAGAAATTCAGGAAGAGTTCCTGTCTGGGACCCTCCTACACTGCTGACACATTAGTTCAAGCATTTTGATGCTATTGTTCAATTTGTTGCATACTTTTTTTATTATGGAACAATATATATCAACTTAAAGTAGGAAATAGTACTGACCATTTATGAAGCTCCTATTAGGTCCCATTCCAAGGATTTTCCAGGTATGAACCTAATTAAATACCCAATTAAGAGCAGTACTATTAAAAGTTCTGTTTCATAGAGGAGGAAGCTGAAACACAGAGGTTTAAGGAACTTGGCTACAGCCACTTAACAAAATCCCTTAACGACCAATTTTTGGCTGTGAGCACACTGTAGTTTTAAAGTCAACTTAATCCACCTAATACGATTCTAACCCACTTCAGAGCCTTCTGTGGGCAAACACTAAACTGCCCACCAATGATGCCAGCTGGAGCAACAAGTGCTGTCAGAGAAATGGCCTCACCAACTTGGAAGCAGGAAATCATGCTGAATGCAAGCCTTGCGATGAAAGTCCCGGAGGAAGAATATCCGCCACCTGACCAGACCAGACCGTTCGCTCCAACAAATTAACAGAAGCAAAACTCAGGAAGTCTAGAAAGAACATGTTCTTCCTCTCTCCCTTTTTCCTCTACTTATGGACTTACTGAAGAGAAACTGTCTGCCCTCTCTGATCTCGTATCTATCTTCTCACGGGAGTGCCTTCTCTCAGTGGCAATATAAGGAAAAGGTCGCTGTGTGCACACACTGCCCAGTGTCTTCAGCAATAAAGTGCAGTGGAAAGAGCAATCACTGAAGCAAATTGCAGGGTTGAATCCTAAGCCCACCATCAGCAAGCTGCGTAACATATGGGACATTTCTTCACCTCTCTGTATCTTCATCTCCTCATCTATAAAACTGGGCCTAGCTTAAAAAAAATAAAAAGCCTACTCTTAGCGTAGAGGTAACACTTAGAAGAGCCCCACAGAAAAGAAAATGTTCAGTAAGCATCGGCTACTATCACTGTTGAGACTCTCACAGAAGACCTGCCTCATGTATTCTCTGTACCCACGCCTCTGGGCTCAGAGGAAAAGTCTAAAATAGTCCGCTTCTCTGCCAGGACCTGGAAAGGGAAGTTCACTTCAAAGCAAAAGAACTAAGAAGCTCAGTGAGACTTGGACCTGGGTCACATGTTTGGGTCTGGCTTTGCCAGCAACGCACCGGCATTCGGGTCCCTCTGCGGCTCCCAAGTATCATTTTCAATCAGTCTCAACTTCCAGAAGAGAGAGTGTGACTAACTGGTTCCTCCAAAATCTAAAATCGAAAGGTGCACGATACTGATGACCCAAAGGACATAAGTCAAAGAAAATCAGAAATCAAGGTGACAGACCTGTTCCTTAAAGGAAAGGGGGACAGAGACACCAAGAAGGAGGGCAGTAGCTCAGAGGCGGAAGTGTCCAAATCCTGACATGGAGCCTGCTCCTGGCAACGAAGAGAGGAGATTTTCCTTATAAGACAGAGACTTGTGTGTGGTACTAACCTGCCTTACATATGATGCTGACAAGCTAAGAATAAACATACAGGTGTACCAGCAGGGTAAAGAAGCACTTGAAAGTTTTCTATGCAACCATTTTACTAAAGAAACAGTTTGTTCAGGATTTGAAAAGTTCTGATGGGTGGCTGACTTGAGGCAGCCCTTGGGGTGTGTCTGTCTCAAGTTCAGATGCTGGGGACGTGGCTTTCGAGGCAAGCACTTACTGCAGAATTCTGCATACTCAGCGGGCAGCAGGAAGGTCTGAGGGAGGATGTGAAAAGCCTTGAATCCGTGTGTGTGCTGCATTCGAATGATGTTTTTGTACAGTCGGTCCTTCCGGGTTAGCTCGTATGACCTAAAGATCATAAAGGTATTTTCATTTCAGTAAACTATGGTTCAGAAGTTTTCCCAACTGGTCATATTTGAAAGAGTACAGTGCAAAGTTCTAGAGCAGTTACTGAGAACAATTTTACATACCAAATCTTCCAATCTGTCAACTTGAAAGGTTTACTGATCATCTTCGAGGGTGGATTTCTTTGGTCAGGTTTACCCAGTGAAGTACGCTTTACACACAATAAGATTTGCCCTTTTGAGTGAAGACTCCTGAGTCTGAACAAATACAATGATACAACCACCACTACACTCATGAAGCGGGACAAAGGATAGTTCTCACATTCCCACATTATCTCAAGTCCCTGTGCCGTCAACCTTGTTGGTCACCCCCAGACCTGGCAAACATTCATCTGTCTTCTGTCCCTCTAGTTTTGCTTTTCCATAAAGTCAAATACAGTATTTTGAATTTCACTGAGCATAACACAACTGAGATTTACCCTTGTTGCAGGATATATCAAGAGTTTATTCCTTTTCATGGCTTAGTAACTGTCCTTTTTGGGGGAGCCCCACAAAATGTTTATCCATTCACTAGTTCAAGATATACAGGTTGTTTCCAGTTTTTTAAGATTCTGAATAATGTCACTATAAGCATTTGCATACAAGATTTTGTAAGTTTTTTTATGAACATAGTTTTCATCTCTCCAGGAATAGTACTGCTGGGTTTAATGCAATTGTTTAGTAAGATACAGAGTTCTCTACTTCTGCATAATGAAGTTCCCCCAAATGAAGCAGCTTAAAATAAACATTTTCTAATTGCACAATTTTTGTGGGTTAGGATGCAGGGTTGGTAAAAGTGGGTAGTTCGGTGGTGGGAATCTCCCCTTAGATTACAACCCAGCTGCAGGCCAGGGCCACAGACCTCAGCTGAACTGCAGCTGGAGGACCCAATCTCCAGATGGCCCTCTTAGATGAGGCTGTCTGGTGGCAGGAAGCCTCGGTTCCTCCCCATGTGACTTTTTCCACAAGGCTAACTGAGTGCCTTCATGACATGACAGCTGTTTTCTTCCAGATCCAGCAACCCAAGAGAAAAGGCAAGAACAAGAAAGAAGCTGCAGAGACGTTTATCACTGTCTTTTATGTATGACCTAGTCTCAGAAGCAAGACACTCATATCTGCCACACTGTTTTTGTTAAATGCAACTCACTAAGTCCAGTCCACACTCAAGAACAGAGAAATTAAGCCCAACCTTTTGAAGATAACGTCAAGATATATCTGGACATGATTTAGAAACACCACATAAATATGGTTAACTTTGGAAGAAACCGCTGAGCTGTCATTCCACGTGGCCACAGGACTCTGCATTCCCACCAGCAGCCGTGGTGGTCCAGCTGCACTGCATCCGGTCAGCACATGGGGCTGTTCCACGTGTGTTTGTTTCCTAGCCATCCTGATAGGTACAGAGTAGTTTCTTGAAGTTTTCATTTGCATGCCACAATCCCACAATGATGACTGACACTGAGAATCTCTTCATGTCCGTGTATCTCCTTTGGTGAAACATTCGTTCAAACATTTTGTCCAGTTTGAGAAACTGGGTCATTTGTCTTTTTATGGAGTTTTAAGAGGTTCCTATATATTTTGGATATGTTTTTTTTTAAAGATTTATTTATTTATGCATAGAAGAACTGGGGAACAGGCCAGAGGTATAGGAGGTGAGAGAATTCATCAAGAGACAGAGTGGAGAACAGAACAGATGGATCTACTGAAATGCACTGCTGAGGGGAGCAGCGGGCAAGACAGGAGTTCAGCTACCCCGTATGTGGGGGTTAGCTCCCTGGCAGAGATTAAGCTCAAACTATAGAGATGACGGCACTGAGACAACCCCTACATCACCAGGGAGGACGCTGGATACAAAGTCTTTATCAGATATATGTTTTGTAAATATTTTTCTCTCAGGTTGTGGCTTTTCTTTTCATTTTCTTAGCATTGTTTTCCAAAGAGGAGATATTTTAAATATTGATGAAGTACAGTTATCAATTTTTTTCTTATAGATTATATTTTTATTGGTACAGTTGAGAAATTTTCACTTAGTCCAAGGTCAGAAAGAGTTTCTCCTATATTTTCTTCTAGAAGTTTTAGTGTTAGATTTTTGCAGAAACTGTTTAAATGTCTATTTAAAATAGATGCATCTGATTCACTTCAAGCACCTGGTCACACATTTAGAAAGCCAAATCTACTTCGAAGCATTAAAGGAAAAATAAGGTTTAAATTATTTTCTACCCATGAAGTTCAGCTATAACCTTGTGATGAAGATTCCAAATATACCTTTGTCCAAATTATGAAGAAACTATCTGACAACAGAAAAGAATAGGCCAGGTATTTATACAGAACAACTGGTAAAAGACACTAGAACTGAAAAATCAAAAAAGAACACCCTCATTTCATAAAAATGAGGAGAAAAGTATATGAGATAACTGAAAATAAAACTGGCTAGCCTGAATGAGCTACCTGGAACAACAGCCCTGGAAATAAAATTAGGTGTAAACACTAACCAACTAAAAGGACTTTTCTTGAACTTGTGCCTCATAAGGTAGATGGGATTAGCCTCCCTTTTCTCCACTAGACCATGTAGCTCTCTGAGGTTGAATATTTAGAACAAATAATATTTATTCTGCTAGAAAAAAAGCAGTTTCAACATCATTTGTATTCCTCTTTTCTTTGTCATGGATATAATGATTAAGAAACCCTGTTCACAAAAAGAGCAGCAAACACACAGTGCTTATTACATGATAGGGAGATGCTGTTCTGAGTACTTGAGATCTTGGTATATAAAATCCTCACAATGTCAGTGAGATATGTGTTGTTAGTGCCTTCTTTTATCAGTGAGGAAATTGATGCTCACTCACCCTAGGTGACTTGCCGGAGCCGGGACGTGGGCCCAGACAGCTGGCCGGCAAGCATCTGTTTCTAACATGGCCTCTCTAAGCTGCCATTAACGAATGCGCCTGGCAGGGCTGTCTTATGATAACGCTCAATTCTTTGAACTCCTCCTAATAATATGTCAAAAGTGACAAGATCATCTATCATTAAAATCTCAGGATATATATCAGCTGACAGCTTCATTATGTGGTCCTCTTTCAATTCTGTTCAATGCAAAGAAACTGAAATCACTATCGTGCAAAAAGGGTTTGTTTTGCTATGACCAGAAGTCAATTAAACACTTTTTGTTTTTTTGGGTAGCTTTCTTGGACCCCTGGAATTTTTTTTTTTTTCTTTTTAAAGATTGATTTATTTCGCATACTGAACTGTGATGCAGGCCATAGGTGCAGGGGGGTGAGAGGATTTACCAGGGAGCAGAACAGGCAGATTAGCAAAGTACACTGCTGCGGGGAGCAGTGAGCAGGACAGGAGAATCCTGCCGTGCTGTGTGGGGCACCTCCCTGGCCAGGGATCACATTCGAGCTGAAGCAGCTGCAGCTAGCTTTGCAGTGGTGCACTTTAGCCCACTGCAGCACCAGGGAGGGCCCAAGCACACCTGGAAGTTCTTATACCCAAGAACTACGCATCTTATTACAAGTTTGGTGGACTACTTTTATAAAGGGGAAGAACCGAAGTTGAAAAAGGGGTAGAAAGGGAGAACGCAACTATATAAAGAGTTCACAAGTTGCTGATTTTAGGGGTAAGAAACAAACAAACTTCTATGGAACTTAGAATCCAGAAACACTCCTTTAGAGCCACCCACGGCTCACAGCCCTTGGAAAGGCATCATCTATGCTCAGAGATATGAAACCTCATGTGATTAGCAGACTGCTGTTCTGTATCATACATTTGTTCTCTTTAGGGACATTAATGCTATCTGCTGCTACACTCCCCAAAGTCAGGTACCTTTAAATGGAATAAAAGTAGCCACAAGACTATCATTACCTGGGAAAGTGATTAACCTTTTGTGCTTCAGAAAGGGTGCGAAGTAAGAAGGGCTTCAGGTGGGATCCTGTCCACATCAGGTTATAGTCAGTGCTGCTCGGGTGAACCTGAGATAAAAAGGCAAAATAAAAAACATCAGACCTAGCCTCTCTCCAAGAACAGCAGTGACAGAAAGGCCATAGGGCTGTTTCATACTCAGAGTATTCACAAGACAACAGTTGAGTGTAGAGAACCAGGGGACGATTCAGTTTAAAGGATGGAAGAGCGGGACAAATTGTCAATACAAAAAGCAGAATAAACTAGCCCTCCTGTAGAAAGTCTAGATGTCTCTTACTATTCTCACATATCAAAGTATGAGGAGATGAGGTGCCAACCCCGAAATTCCATTCTCAGACTATCCTTATGTTTTTGCAGGTGCTGGATATAAAATACTGGCCTCCCTGGTAACACATGGGATGAAGTCACAGAACTATGAAGCAGTTAGTAGCCACAGCACGATGATTTCGGTCCTGGTCCAGGAAGCTGACCCATATGGCGTGGCAGACCTCTCCTGTCTCGCCCACTGCTCCCCTCAGCAGTGTATTTCAGTGGATCCACCTGTTCTGCTCCCAGCTCTGTCTCTGGGGAATCCTCTGACCCTCTGGCCTACAACCCAGCTCTGATATGCATAAATGAATAAATCTTTAAAAAAAAAAAAAACTGAAAGCTAGTAGCAAACCAACTTATGGTTCATTCATAAGGAATCATTTGTCCATTCATGAAGCAATTACATGTTCTGTGCCTATAATGTGATTGTAACATACCAAGTCCTGGAGATAAAACAGCAACAAGACAAGGTAGAAATTGTCATGCAATTTTCATCTAATTGGAAGTCTGTCCCTTTTAATGTAAACATTTCAGTTTTCTCTATTTTCTTTGTTAACATCATACTCCTTGACTTTAAAGGATCAGCCATTACCCATCCCTCACGCCCCCCAACCCAGGAGTGAATCCATGAGACAAGCTGGGTCAGTCATTCTATCTCTAGATAGACTGCTGAACGTTAAAAGGCACGAGGACAATAAATAGAATCGAATCGCTAGTATGGCAGTACCTTGGGGATATGTTCCTGAAGTTTCCTACTGCCAGAGTACCCTGCTGTCCTGGCCTGCTTTTAAAAGGCCTATCTCTTCAGCTTTTCCTTTAATTCTGCTAGACATCTTGTGCATACCTTTCCTACATGCCTTTTGGTTTAAGTTAGACAGTCTGTTTCTGTTGCTTGCAATCAAGAACCTAAACTGGTTATCAGACAACTGTTTATGGGTAACACTGACTCTAGCCCAAGCCTAAAACCACAGCAAGAAACACTTTTTTGCAACATCCCCCACCCCCAAAATTTTTTTTGGAAATGTTTCCATTTATTTCAAGGTGAAAGCAGTAAAACCACTCAAATTCAATCCAGGTTCTGCGCACTGCTCCCATATACTTTCTTGAACTGGGCCTGTTCAGTTGGCCTAGGAGTTCTGGCTTTAGAGCAGGTCAGGTGGGGTAGCAAGAAGGAGCTTACTTCATGAAATCCATGGGCTGTCAGAATGCTGCGTACCAGTCGACTATCTGTTCGCACAATCTTGTAAGACAAATGATAACGTTCTAAATATAAACAGAGAACCAAGTTCAGTAACCAGGAAGTTAACTGCAGAGACAGAAACTGTAAGACAAGAGGCTTGTTCAATTATACCCCATGGCTTCACAATGCTACCCATTTGCTATCATAAGTAGGATGATTATTTTGGAACAGATGTTCTTCTCCTGAGATTTTTTGGGGGAGGGGTCACCAAAAAAATGGAGGAAAATTACTTCTTTGTTCCCACTAGTTTTTATTTGATACCTTCGATCAGAAGGCTAGGCGACACAGCAATGTAGCCTGTACCTGTGACCCTGTCACTAATAACTATCAGGTATTTTAATATTATTTTATAACTGTTAGGTACCACAAAATAGCATTTATTTGCACATTTAAAAATAATGAGCTAACAGACCTACCACTAAATCACTTTCTATGACACGCTAAAAAAGCACATACTTATCACAAATTTGGTTTAAAAAAATATTTTGATAACTCCATTTCAATACAACTGACTTTCTTTGTAACCATATGTATTTTTGAACAAACTTAAAAGACATTCCTGTGAAGTGAACCACAGGCTTCTCCAGCGGCACAGGACCCACTGCACCAAAAAAGGTTAAAAACTGCTGCTCTGCTCTTGCTTTGACCAACCTAGAGACACTCCGGAGGTGACATCACAATGGCTGCCCAAGGAAAACCCCAAGGTCAGCTCAGTTTCCTATTGGTGGGGAATGGTGGTACTGGGAAAATTATGCATGAAACATCACTGGACCGATAAATTTGAGAGGAAGTATGTAGCTGCCTTGGGAGTTGAAATCCACCCAGTGTTCCATGCCAATGAGGACCTGCTGAGCCCAGAGTGTGGGGTACAGCTGGTCAGGGGAAACGTGGTGGACCAGAGACGGCTGTTGTATCCAAGCCCCGTATGCCTTCGTCATGTTTGATAGGCCGTTGTTACCTACAAGATTGCACTTAGATGGCATAGAGACAGGGAACAAGTACTGAAAACATCCCTATTGTGTTGTGAGACAACAAAGTGGATACAAAGGACAGGGAAGTTTTTTAACCAAAAGCAGGGTCTTTGGTATGATGACATTTCTGCCCAAGGAAACTACACTCTGAAAAGTCCTTCCTCTGCCTTGCTAGAAAATGACCTGGAGACCCTAACTTGGATCTGGCTGCCAAGTCTACTTTGCACCCCCTCACCCCCACCGTGATTGGCAGGGACCCGCTCTGGCAGTGCAGAATGAGCACGAGTTAGAGGCTGTTCAGACAATTGATCTCCCAGAGGAAGATGTAGCTGGAGCCCAGAGTCAAAAGCCTGGTGTTATAGCAACTGTCCTGTGCTGTTAGCATGTTTATCACTTTGGCAATGCAACAGTGAGCAACTTCTGAACAGGGTAACACAGGATTTTACAAACAGCCCCTAGAATCACATTTTGCCTCTACATCCTAAGAAGCATTTCTTTTTACACATTTATAAGAAAATACTCATAAATCCCTGCTGCCACTTGTCCAGCCCTTACAGGATACCATGCGATGCAGACACAGGCCAAAGGTATGGTGGGGGTCCTGAGAGAATTCACCAGAGTGGGGAACAGAACAGGCAGGTCTGCGGAAATAACACTGCTGAGAGAAGCAGTGGGTCAGGAGAGGTCTGCCTCACCATGCAGGTCAGCTCCCTGGCTAGCGATCAAACTCATGCTGCAGTAGCTGCAGATAACTTCATAATGCTGTACTTTAACCCACTGCACCACCATGAAGGGCCCCATGCTTCTCATTCTTGTGACAAACTTTGAACACACAGCTACCGAGTTTTCCCAATGACCAATCATTATTATGTTGCTTTTGCAAAATAACATAAATAATGGAAAGCCACGTGTAAACTTTGGTGTGGAGAATAATATGAGATGAAGTACAGTAAGTACCCTGTTCCAGGAGTCTGTGTTCTGGTTCCCAGTTGGGGAGAGAAAGCACCAAACAGGACTGGAATATCTTGCAATGCCAAAAAAAAAAGAGGAAATGTGTTCAAAAACTGGTTGGGAGGATGTGCAATAATCTTCAAGATCTTAAAAGGATGCTCAATGGCCAAATCTGAGATAACTGGAACGTGAAAATCAAAAGTAACAAGGAGAGATCATAATTTACTTATTAAAAAGTTTTTTGCGGGCCCTCCCTGGTGGCGCAGCGGGTTGAAGCACTGCACTGAGAAGCTGAAGCCACTTCAGCATGAGTTCGACTCCCGCCTGCCCCGCAGGAGATCCACATGGCGTGGCAGACCTCTCCTGACTCGCCCGCTGCTCCCCTCAGCAGTGTACTTCGTCGATCTGCCTGTTCTGCTTCCCGCTCTGTCTCTGGTGAATCCTCTCACCACCCCTGAGCCTCTGGCCTGTACCCCTGTTCTGTACGAATAAGTGAATAAATCTTTAAAAAAAAAAAAAAAGTTTTTTGCTTTATTATTGCTGCTAGAACAAATAACCACATACTTGTGGCTTAAACAATACAAATTTCTTGTCTTACAGTTCTGATAGAAAAAGTCTGATACCAGTCTCTCAGGCATGATCAAGGCAGCCTCCTCTTTCACAGGCTCTGGCCAGGTCCCTTTCCCAGTTTCTAGGGGCCACCCCCTTCGCTGGCTTGTAGCCCCGATCCCCACCGTCTTCAAAGCCAGCCATGTGGGCCTCGTCCCTCTCAGGCTGCATCCATCTGGCTCCTTGTCTGCCTCCTTCCACTTGAAAGGACCCCTGTGATTACATTGGGCCTGCTTGGGTAATCTCCTTACAGCAACTTTAATCCATCTACAACCTTAATTCCCCTTTGCCACTGACATTTTCACAGGTTCTGAGAATTACAAGGTAGACATTGGGGGGAGGGGACCATTATTCTGCCTACCACAGAGAGGAAAACTCTTCTTTACAGAAAAGTCAGCTAATAAAGGTAGAAAGGCAAACAGAAAGCCATAAAAGTAAATGATTCATATGCGACTGAATGGATACCTCAGGTGAGACACTACTGGGTGACAGACATTCACAATCTCAAGAGACTTCTCCATATGTCGTCTAACAAAAGAGGAAGGTACCATGAAACAATCTGGTAGACACCACCTTAACCAAATAACAGAATGTGGACAATGCAATATAAAGACATTGCCTGCTTCCTAATATGACACATTAAGGAAACACATCTTGACTCAGTGATATTCCGTTAATTTTTTAATCTGAATCTCAGCATGAGAACACAGTGAGATGAGCTCAAACTTAAGGACAAAGCAACTAGCCTGGAATCTTTAAAAATGTTAATGTCATAAAATATTAAAAAAAAAAAAAAAGCCCTGGCTAATATAATAATTGTAGATTGTAGATTTAGGAGACCAAAGAAATAAGACAGCTAAATGCAATTTGACTGGACCCTGGATTTAAAACAACAGGTCTAAATCGGAACTACTGGGGAAACATGGAAGGGATTGTATATTTGATCAGAGTATTTCACCAGTGATAAACCTACTAAGTGTGATCACTGTGATCACTGTGCTACGGTTATCAGAGGATGCCTTTGTTCTTAGGAGAGGCCTGCTGAACAAATATTTAGCTGGGAAGTATTTGAACTAATTCTCAAGTTGCTCAAATAAAGAGCGCACCAAATGTGGCAAAATGCTAATGGTAAATCTAAGGAGAGAACCTACATGTGTTCATTGCAATGTTCTTATCACTTGTCTTAAGGTTTTTAATTTTTCTAAATAAAAAGTTTTTTAAAAATGAAAGACAGTCAAGTCTTCTTATTACAGTAACTAGTCAGTGACATGTCCAATTTTGTAAATGCAAAATCACCTACAGGAGGCCAGGACTGGGCCCAATTCTGCACCTGTCCTGCAGTGCTGCCTGCGGTACCAGACCACAGAGACAGCGATCAGGTATGAAAAATAAAGAATGAGCGCACGGGGACTAAAAGAAGGGGATAATGAGAGAACGAGTATGTCTCTGGGGTGGGACTGCCAGGTTCAAATCCTGACTCTACTGGTGCCCCAGATAGGCTTCTCAAGAGGCCTCGCCGCAGGGTTGGGCTCTGAGCGGAACTATGTCAGTTATTTAGGTGAGAACAAGCCCGAGGGGACCCAGCAATTCAGAAATCTGAGGCAGCAATTCACCAGTTACTCAAACTGTTCTTTTCACAAGGAAAGGTGAATACAATTATTAAACCTCAAAGAACTGGGAAGATAAAACTCAAAATCAGTTTGAATGTTGTGGCTTTTTCTTTAGTCACAGGAATATAATAAGGGGGAAGGAAGGCTTAAAGGTTCTTAAAAATAGTGATTCCTTGAAAAATGGGATGACCACATTGCTAGTTGCCACTTCTGACAGGTGTCAGCTGTTCTAAAAAAGAAAGATGTACCAACTGCCATGGAATATATAGATGCATTTATATAACAGACCAAAAGAAGCAAGTTTCAGGGGGTTTTGTTGTTTTCACACACCTTTGTCATTTCTATTCACATCATAGAGTTTCTCAGCAAATGTTAACAGACCTTCAGTTATTTAGGTTTCAGAGAATATGAATGAACCATGTTCCTTTGATAGGTAACTGAGCAACTTGCTGAGAAGATTAGAACATAAGGATTCGTAGGGAGGGAGGAAGAATCAAATCCCAGAAGCAGGCTCTCACTGTGCTCTCAAAGCCTGTCTTATGGAGCAGTGACAGCCTTTAAATTCATTTCAAAGTAGAAGAGATCCATTTCGGCCCTCCCTGGTGGCACAGCGGGTTAAAGCACAGCACTGAGAAGCTAAAACTACCTCTGCAAGAGTTTGATTCCCGCCTGCCCCAGAGGTGTCCACATGACGGGGCAGACCTCTCCTGACCCACCCGCTGCTCCCCTCAGCAGTGCACTTCCTTGTTCTGCCTGTTCTGCTCCCCACTCTGTCTCTGGTGACGCCTCTCACCACCCCTGAGCCTCTGGCCTGTACCCCTGTTCTGTATGAACAAATAAATAAATCTTTAAAAAAAAAAGAAGAGATCCATTTCATGCTGTAGAATAAACAGTAGGAGCTGTATGCCTGTTATATACCAAACATTAAATAGTATAATTTAATTCTCACAGCACCTACAAAATAAGCTACATTTACTAATAGTGAAATCAGTTAAGAGAGTTTACATGACTTTCCTAAAACTCACAGCCAGAATGCCAAGGTCAGAATTTGAACCAATGACTAAGAACCTAGCACTGGCTCCTTCCACCACACTTCATGACAGGTCTGATCCACAGCATCTTAACCTTTGAAGAGACTAACCCCAGAATTCAGAGTAGTGCATAAAGTTAAAGAGGAGTGTAGATAAATGAAATTGAGACTAAAATAGCAGTAGAAAAAATAAAGTAAATTAAAAAGCGGCTCTTTAAAATGATCATTTTTAAAAAAATCATCAAATTGACAAACCTCTAACTAGACTGACATCAAAAAATTTCAACTTAAGTCAAAAGCAAAGTGGAACATGACTACCAACCTCACAAAAATGAGGCCTATAAAAGAGTACTATGGAAAAACTGCATGCCAACCAATTAGATAAACTAAGTAAAATGGACAAAACCTAGATGCACACCAACTGCCAAAACTGACTCAGTAAGAAACAGAAACCTCTCAACAAAGAATGCTCAGGACGAGGGAAGTCTACCAAAACACTTGACATAATTAGTATCAACCCTTCCCAGGCACTTCTAAAGAGGAAGGAGCTCATTCTATGAGACCAGCATTGCCTGATACTAAAGCCACAGTGGCATCATAAGAAGACTACATACCGTTACTAACCTTTATGGATAGAGATGCCAAAATTCCCCACAAAATGGGGCCTCCCCGGTACAGGGGTTAAGGTTTCAGCACTATCAAACTATTGCCAGTCACTACAGCATGAGTTCGATCCCCGGCCAGGAAGATGACTCACAGGCTGTGGTTGACCTCTCCTGTCTCACCCACTGCTCCCCTCAGCAGTGTATTTCAGTAAAATCTGTCTTGTTCTGGGCCCTGCCTGGTGGCACAATGGGTTAGGACACAGCACTGCACTTCAGTGTGAGTTCAATCCCCAGCCTCAGAGGTGACCCACATGGCGGGGCAGACCTCTCCTATCTCACCCACTGCTCCCCTCAGCAGTGTACTTTGTCGACCTACCTGTTCTGCTCCCCACGCTGTTTCTGGTGAATCCTCTCACCAGCCCTGCACCTCTGGCCTGTACCCCAGTTCTGTATGCATAAATAATCTTTAAAAAATAAAATCTGTCTGTTCTGTTACCACTCTGTCTTAGGTGAATTCTCTCACCCCCTCCTCTGGAATACACCACCCCAGTTTTTGTATGCATAAATAAATAAATATTTTAAAAAATGTTTCCACAAAATACTAGGAAACCAAATCTAGGATTTAATGAAGAGGATGATATACCAGCTACTTCAGGAGTTCAATCCCCAGCTAGGAAACTAACCCACATGGCACAGCAGACCTCTCCTGACCCACCCACTGCTCCCCTCAGTCATGTATTTCAGTAAAATTTATCCAATTAGGATTTATCTCAGGTATGCAGGGGTGGTTCAACACACAAATGCTAACTTAAGAGTAATAGACCACATTAATAGAATGAAGGAAGTGGGAAACAGAATTTCCTCAATAGTATTTGGCAATATTCCCCAAAGTGCTTATCAAATTCAATGTACTCTAAGTCCAAAATTCATATGGAACTATAAGGGAGCCTAAGTAGCAAAATAAATCTTGAAAAAGAAGAAGAGGACTGACTCATACTTGCCAATTTCAACATTTAATACAACGGTAGAGTAGTCAAAACAATATTGTGCTGGCATCATAAGGACAGACATACAGATCACTGAAATAATGAACTCAGATATAAGCCCATACTTCTTTAGTCAACTGATTTTCAATTATAGTGTGAAGACTATTCAATAGGGAAAGACTAATTTCTTCAACAAATCATACAACAGGATATCCACATGCAAAAGAATCAAGGTGGATCTTTATCTAACAATGTAGAAAATAACTCAAAATGGATCAAAGAGCATTTAGCTCTAAGTACAGGAGTTTAAGCTATAAAAGTCTTAGAAAAAAGCACAGGGAGGCCCTCCCTGGTGGCGCAGCGGGTTAAAGCACAGCACAAAGAAGCTTAAGCCAATTCCGCATGAGTTCGATCCCTGCCTGCCCCGGAGACGAGCCACATGGTGAGGCAGACCTCTCCTGAACCGCCCACTGCTCCCCTCAGCAGTGTACTTCGTCGATCTGCCTGTTCTGCTCCCTGCTCTGTCTCTGGTGAATCCTCTCACCCTCCTCATCTCTGGCCTGTACCCCAGTTCTGTACGAATAAATAAATAAATCTTAAAAAAAAAAAAAAAAAGAAAAGAAAAAAGCACAGGGATCATGTCTGTGGATTAGGCAACAGTTTTTTAGATATGACACCAAAAGCATAAGCAACAGAATTAAAAGTAGATTAATTAGAGATCATCAAAAAAAAACTTTCTGCTCATGAAAGAACACTACCAAGTAAGTGAAAAGACAAACCACAAACTATGAAAATATATTTGGAAATCATATACCTGCTAAGGATCTAATATCCAGGATGTGTCAAGAACTAATCTTACAACTCGATAAGAAGACAAGCAATCCAATTAAAAAATAGACAATATGACCCTCCATGGTGGCGCAGCAGGTTAAAGTGCAGCACTAAGAAGCTAAAGCCACTTCAGCATGAGTTCAATCCCTGCCCGACCTGGAGGTGATGCACATGGCGTGGCAGACCTCTCCTGACCCGCCCGCTGCTCCCCTCAGCAGTGTACTTCGTCAGTCAGCCTGTTGCTCCCCACAATGCCTCTGGTGAATCCTCTCACTGCCCCTGCACCTCTGGCCTGCACCCCAGCTTGTATGCATGAATAAGTAAATCTTAAAAAAAAAAAAAAAAAAGTAGACAACAGACAAAGAGACAAAAAGTTTCAAAAGACATAAAAGACATTTCTCCCAAGATAGACAAATGGCAAACAACCCCATGAAAAGATGCACAGTGCTAATCAAAACCAGCAGTATAGCTAAATCTAAAAAAAAAAGAAAAGAACAGAAATGAGGGAGGATGTGGAGAAACTGGAACTCTCATACATTGATGGTGGGAATGTAAAATTTATGAAGTCACCATGGAAAGCCCTTTGGCAGAATTACCACACAACCTAGCAACTCCTTGCTAGGTACAGACCTAAAAGAAATGAAAACAGTTGTTCGAACAAAGACCTATACACGAACATTCACAGTAGCACTATTTAAAAGCCAAAAAGTGGAAAAATCATTCACCAACTGATGAACAGAATGTGATATATGTCTATAATGAATAGTATTTGGTCCTCAAAAAGTGAAGTGATGAAACACACCACAACATGGATGAACCTTTAAGACATCATGCTGTCAAAGAAGCCAGTCACAAAAGGTCACGTTTTACAAGTCCATTTATGTGAAATATCCAGAAAAGGCAAATCCACAGAGACAAGAAAGTAGATTAGCGGTTGCTAGGAGCTGGGGGTAAAAGGGGTTGGGGGAGCGGCTGTTTACAGGATAGAGACTTAAGCAGAACGTAATAAACCTATTCTAGAACGTAACAATGGTGATTGTGAATGATCTAAACACACTATGAATATATCAAATGTCAGTGAACTATATACTCCAAATGGTTAGAACAGTAGTTTGTTATGTGTATTTTACCACAATTTGAAAAATAACATTAAACACATCAGAGGAAAGAACAATTTAGTATGCAAAAAGCAATTTAAGAAGTTAGAAATAATCCTTCTAAGTAAAACAAATGCAAAGGCTTTCCTCAAAACCAAGGCCCTTTCACAACCTGTAGGTGATACCACTTTCTGGGAGACCAGATCATCAGGACCCTGCCCCGCCCTACCCTCTATGAGAGAAAGACATACCCACCTCCAATGACTCGAATATTGTTGTCCTTTGTTAGAATAGCCTCGGCGTGGAACACTAAAACTGGAATTCTCCGGCAGCCTCCAGTCCACATGATACACGGATGATCGCTGCAATGAGAAAAGGCTTTACTCGTTCACAGCTCAAAATATGAATTAACAACTCGAAGCAGATATCTGTGATTTTCTGAGTAGCAACTTTCCTTTCCTTCTGGCATGAGAACTCCAAATGTTTTACCATTCATAGCCATGCATTTTAAGATTAATGTTATCCATTTTAGGAACAGGCCCTGATAATTCCAGCACCCTGTTAGTGAGTAGGGCTGAGTCAGGAGACGGTGTCAGGAGACCCTCTGAAAAAGCAACATCTTCTTTCCCTTCTGAAGCAGCTCTAGGAGAGACGGCCTACTTCCCCTTGAAGAGAATGAGAGATCCAGAAGGGTAACTGTCATTGTGTGACCTTGAGAGGGAGAGCCTGAAGCTGTTGGTAAAGGAGGAAGTCAGTGGGAGCCTGACAGATGGAATGAGGGAAATAAGATCCTTTGTGGCAAATGGAGAGCTGCAGAATCAAGTTACCCCTAAATATAAGTGAATGAATTCCCTTCATCATTTAAGACACTGTATGCCTTAGTTCCCAGACATACAGAATCTTAAGATACTCACAATAATCTATATGCCCTTTGAACACCCTGCAGTGCTTTTTTAAGCAAATTTGATGACCCATCCAAAGATCCTGAGCTAGGAACCCTGACTAACACAAGTACTCCAAGTAAAAGCACGTATTTTGAAGAAAGCCTATACTAAATCCAACGGCTCCTCCAGCAAAGGACCTCTGACTTTATTTTCTTTCCCTAGTCTAAGGAAATCTCAGTTTAATTAACCCTTATATTTACTCACAGATTAGGAAAATCTTCAACCTGATAGGAATTGAAATGAGTCCTTCAATTGATAGGAAATGAAGTGAGTCCCTACAAGGCTCTAGGAATTAAATTAAGAGCTTTCACAAGCTATTTCACTTAATCCTCTTACCTGAACTATGAACTGAAGAAATGAAACCCTCCTCTCAGGTTAAGAAACCTGCACAAGGTCACAGAGCTGATGAAATGAGGGGAAAAGCACCCTTGCTGTTGTTTCTACCCTCCCAGCCCCCCAATCCCATTTCAGTGATGTCCTATACAAGTTGGGAACTTAAACTCAGATGTTTGGGACACTTAAACTAATCAATTTCTTAAATGGAATAAGATCCCTTTAGACAAGATTCAGGCTGCTGGAACATGACCACACCCCTTAACAAAGACCCTACTATGAGTCTCAGGGCCAAGCCAGACCCCGCAACCCAAGTTTAAAAAGAGCCACACTCTGAATGCACTGTCAGGCTACTGGTCTGAGAGGCAGGGCAGGCTTTACTAAATGAGGTGCCAAGAGCCTTTTAGTAAAGATAGCAAAGAGCACCATACCTAGTTTATTTCCTGTTTTCTAGAAATGGAATGTGGATGCTGACTGCCCTTGCCCTCTGATTCGGGTGCTAGTGCCCATTAGTGAGAAATTTTCTTTATAGAGTATATACTTTGGCAAGAAGTGTTTCTGTGGTTTGCTTGTTTTAAGCTTTAATACCTGTAAGTTACAGGCATAGGGCCAGATGATTCCTATGTTCTCTTCCAAATTTAACTTTTCCATTTCTAAGTCAGATGAAAGAGGGAAAAATGGACAGGCTAAACGACAAAGTCGTGGACAGACACTCTGGCAATTATCCAAACTTCCTTGTCAGTCGCACTAGTTACCAACTGGCACCACTGTGTCTTAGCAGTTACAAACAATGGATTATTGCCACAAATTAAAAATGCCTGATGACAGACAGGAACACAATAAACAACTAAACAGCTGAGTACAACCAAGGCCCTAAACAGGTATCTGTCGAGAGCCAAATCCTCACTGAAAAATCTTTTTACTTACAACTTAAGAAAAGATAAAAAGGAAATAAACTATGAATTCAGTCAGGTCAACTAAACCACACTTGAGGCAGATGCTGGTGTGTCATTAGAACCATGCTCCCACCAGGTGGCGCTAAAGGGAAACCATTCAAAATTATTAGGAAACTGAAAATCAGGACCTCAAATTTCCATTCACAGCAGAAACTGGTATAAATTTAAAAAACAAGCCATTACAGCATGAAAGAACAAAGTATTTGAGTGATTAATTTCTGAAGTAGACCAGTCTTACAGTTCACCTTATTAGAGGCCTACGAACACTTTGGTTCACTCCAGGAGTGAGCCTACTCAAAGCTTCTATTTCTTATTCCTAAGAAGGCCCCTGCTGGAAATGCCTTCTTGTCTGCTTGTCTTTGTTCACTTAATCCCACTCTCCAAGGAGCAGTGCACCTCACCAGCTCAAGCCCACACTGCTGCTTTCTGACTCCTGTAGCATCAACAACCATTTGTCGATGAACTTTATTTTGTTCCACTCAACACTGATGATCTTTTTAACTGATATAAAACCAATTTTTATGACAAGAATGAAAGTTACTATTTTTTAATGAATAATCTCACAATCAAATACCTTCATGAAAGTTTCCACATTTGTATATAAATCTGTATTTGGGGGGTCCCCAAACAAAAATATAGAGAAAGAGCCCCTTTACATTTATAGTTTGAAGTAAAGCATGCAAAACAAGGCCTCCTAGGCAGTTTCTAGCAAAGCCCAAGACTGCAAGACTACACTACACTAGCACAATAGCACCTAAGGACCAAGGCAGATCTAACAGATAGGTGTAGATAAACACCTTTGGATTAAATCATCATCCTTAAGATGACTTAAGATCTTCTGACTTCCAAAATTTTTGCTACAGGAGTAAACATGTTTGACTTAAGGTTTCCATGTATAAAACTAGGGCCTACTAGATAAGATATAAGCTAATGGAACAAAATTAACAGTTAAAAATCAACAAACAGTAGGAGTTTGAAAGATAAAAGAATATGAATTGGGGGGATTACTATTTTATTTTTACTGATGTTTAAATTTAGTTATGTCTCAGCCATGAATACTGGCAAAAAAGCTCTTCAGGGCCCTCCCTGGTGGTGCAGAGAGTTAAATCACAGCACTAAGAAGCTAAAGCCACTTCCGCATGAGTTCGATTCCCGCCTGCCACCTGCCAGGGAGGTGACCACATGGTGCAGCAGACCTCTCCTGACCACCCACTGCTCCCCTCAGCAGTGTACTTCGATGATCTGCCTGTTCTGCTCCATACTCTGTCTCTGGTGAAGCCTCTCACCAACCCTGAGCCTCTGGTCTGTACCCCAGTTCTGTATGTACAAATAAATCTAAAAAAAAAAGAAAGAAAGCTCTTCAGGTTTAGCATTATCTGTGCCTATGAAATTACAGGTTTTTCACACTGTATTGCAGCTGCTGTCCATATTAAAATAAAATTTACTCTCATCACTAGTCTAAGTTAAAAATTATTACATTTGCCACTAGAATACCTATGGTCACAGTGTCCCTTGCTAACAATAATTTTGCAGTTCTCCCTAAAACTGCATTCAGCTACCAAATTGTGACATCTTTCTTTGGTGATCCCCAGAGTCATGTTTCTGAGTGCTCCCACTTCCAAGTGTTCATCAAAGAAAACCCTACAGTGTGATAATCTTATGTAAACTAGGCAAGAACTGTTTTCACGTTACTGAATTTAGAAAATAAAATTTAATTTCCCTATGTTTTAAATGAATGATCTTGTTGAATATATTAATAGAAAAAGCACAGGGTTGGGGTTTTTAATTTCAATAATTGTATTTCAATGTAATTGGCATTGTTTGTAATTTTGTATATTTTAAGGACTTAGAAATATTCTGATACAAGATCAACTGATCAAAGGTAAGCTAAACCAGAAAGTCTCCATTTACTCACTGATTCAGTTAGTCACTAAATCAATAAGTATTTATTGAGTACTTATATTAGGTTGAAATATCTGAAACTGCTAACTGTTGACTGCTTTTGATCTATCAAAATGGCAATCTAATACTTGCCAATCTAGAAGCCCACAAAATAAGAAATAGTTGTGGAATAAAGAATGGTCTTGAAAACAGACTGATAGTTGAAGAAGTTAAAAAATGCTGTGAAATGATTAAGAGGCAGCACGTATAAAGCAAAAAGTGACAAGGCAAAGTGACCAGAGGGAATTATGCATTTAATTGTGTTGACAAGAATGACCCAAATATAATGTCAAATTTCTATTATTTTCTATGACCTAACTATGATGAGAAGACTTTCCCCAGAGCCTTGCTAATGTTTCAATCTTTCTCTTCAAATCACATTAAATAACGTAATCTTTCATTTTGTAAAATCCATTTAAAATAATATTAAAGTCAGCGAAAATAATGCCTTGCATTTTCATGGCACTTTACACTTGAAAAATACCAGCAGAGTCTGTGAAATATCAGTCCCATTCTTCAGGTTACACAGCACCCACATATCAAAGAGGATTTACAGACAAACTTAAAAACTAAGCTAAGTTTAAGCCAGGCTCTTTGTTCTCTGTGTCAAGCAATGTTAAAGGAGGCAAAATAGCAAAGTGCTTCAAAATCCAGGGCTGAATCTTAATTTATCACTTATATACTACATATTCCCTATATGAGTTTAGTAAAGTGGGAACAATAGCTTCAGATTAAATGATATACAGTATTTAATGTCCTTGTCCTTATCACTCAACACTATCACTCATTTTTTATTAATGTAAAAATTGAATCAAGAAACTTCACTCTTACCTAAAAGAACTTGGAAAAGCACTATGGCTGATGATCTGCCCCACAGTTACTCTGCTAAGCTACTTGACCTCTTCATGTTTTCATCATTCAACATTGTAAAGGCTTTTTGGAAAAAAAAAATAACATAACCAATGTCACAGGGCATGGTTTTCCAATATCTAAAAATTTCAAAATCTGTTGGGAGCTCTGATCAAAGAACTCACTAAAACTACCATACCTAGACCCAATGTTCACTCATGAGCCCAGAAAACTTATATCACATAGTTGATCTGGATCAAATAATAGTATCTTTAATTAAATCATTTAGATCTAAATTAATTAGATCATGGCCAACAGCTAAAATCAGAGTCAAACAACACCAAAGGAAAGGTATTGGCTGAAAGAGTGTGATTAACAGAGAACTATCTTCCACCCTAAAAGCAAAGGGTCAAAAGCAGGCTGGCTATTACTTACTCTTGGCTTACCACCTCCTCATCCTCTGAGGATGATGCTGTTTCCTCCAGGTCCCGGGCCATCACGACTGGCATTTCCTTTAGGGCTTGTCATGCAGTCAGCAGGCGGGGGGCCTCAGAGACCTTTCCTCTCAGATTCACCGGATCAAACAATTTGGGTGGCACAGATTCCTACAAGAAAACCAAACCATCTGAAACCCAATGGTTTCAGAAATACAACTGTCTATTGATTGTGCTGATGATCTTCCAAGTAGTGAAAGTGAATACTTAAGACATGCCAACCTCTAGAGGCCTACCTTCTATCACAGCATCTCACCTATGTCACAAAACTCAAGTTTTTTTTTTTTCAATTATACTCTCTGTCCTCTATGCAATTGAAGAGTTGTTAATAAGACTTCTTTTACATACAACGTTTATACACTAAATCTAACAAGACCAAAAGGATAAACAACTTTTAGGAAACTGAGATAGGACATTCATTGCCCAAACCTAAGACTCCTTGCTAGAAAAACGTGACCTGAGCTAAAAGTTAAAACTCAAGATTTGAAATCTCTGCAAGTATTTTTTTAGACTCTATGACAAGCACACTGATAAAATGCCTTCAATGGTTCCTCTAAAACAAATTCAACTGAACCAAACAATTAATTTATTCTCCTGAATCAACGTTATAAATAGCTGAAAAAGCATTGCCCTTCCAACACCCTCTAAAAATATTCTCTCTTACTGGAATTCATAAACTATGACCAGAATCTCGAAAACATTAAAATTACGCTTTTTTCCCCCTGTAGGGAAAAAGTACAGGTTTGTGGTATTTGCGTTTTAGCAGGGATCAGAAATTATGGATCAAGAAAATGAAAATGTTTAAATGACCATAAACCCATTACTTAGAGATATGCACTTGATGCCAATTTTGCCAGCCTTTTTTATGCATTCCCATATAGGATAAGATTGTAAACAGGACCAAAAAACAACGGCCCCGTCAAGATTCCGAGAGATCCTCAGAATGCGAAAGAGCTCATTAAAAACCTCAAAGCCCTTCGTTTCTGCGAGGATGCCCAATGGGATTTCTCGACCTTGTCAAGAATTTTGGGAATCCTTTAAATTAAACAAAAACAAACACAAACAAAACCTCCAGCGCGAGGAAGGAGCGCCAACCTATCCTAGGCTACCTGCAGAGAAGAGAGACAGGACAAGCGACTGGAAGATGAATGCGGACACTCATCCAAAGAGCGCCCTCGCCCTTAAATGGATCAGCCCCGCAGCCCCACCCCCGGCTCACCCCAATTCCAGGTAGGTTCGCAGATACCAAGGGACGGACCCGGGAGACTCCGCCGCAGTGATTCAGTCCAACGCGCCCGGAAGCCCAGAGCTGCTCCCGACTCTGAGAGGGAAGTGCAGCGCTCCGCGCCCGCCCAGACCTGGGAGCGCAGCCTCCTCGGGTAGGGGAGCGCGCCCGCGCAGGCGTTTACCTGTCTCATCTTCCCATGGCTCGGGGCGGGCTGGCGGGGACCGCGTTCTGCGCCTACCGCCCTCCTCCTTCCCCAGCCGGGCTCACGGCCGCCGCCGACGGCTGCTTCCCGGTTACTACAACAACCAACAAGCAACCGCCCGCTGGGAGCCACTGCGCAGGCGCCCGCCACCGGCGCTGACAACGCTCAGCTTCGGGCGCAGAAGAGTGTCGTCACGGCCGCGCCGCGCGGGCGCAAATCCCAGCTCCCGGCAGAGGTGTTTTCCCTTCTCTTTCCTCCGCCTCTAAAAGGTTGGCTTCGAACCCGGAGTTCTTCGCCACGCTCGACTGGGGGATACACCGCATTTGCGGCGTGCAGAGGCGAGGCTTGGGCGGCGGCAACCGCTGATTGGCAGTACAGGGGTGCCCGCCCCATCTCCTGCTCCCCGCAAAAGCGGGACAGCCAATCAGAGTGAGGACTGGTGGAACGGCCCCAATCCTGGACCAGGGCGGGGTTACGGCTCAGGTAGACCCCAGGCTGGAGCTGTCTTGGAAGAGCTGCTTGACGGTGGCCGAAGTACTGAACATCTATCTATCTACTCGCCAGGTAAGAATGACGCGGGGAGAACACATTTGTCGGTATCTTATAGCTGGTTGAGAGGATCCGTAGAGTCTGGAAAAGTGAAGGCGGGATGCAGGAATAGGGCAGCAGCCTATTAAGGGTAAAAGGATTCGAAAGACCCTGAGAAGGTGGAGCCCAGAAGATGAAGACCCGAAGGGTCCGGGAAAGAATGAGTGGATGAACGAATGAGTGGCTACCATGAACCTAGCCCGGTGTAAAAAAGAAAAGAAAAAACCGTCACTTTTTCGTGTACCTCTTATAATTCTTGAGATAGGTATTTTCTATCTCCATTTTGCAGGTGAGGAAATCCGGACTCTAAACTAAATTACTTGCCCGGGGTTACACAGCTTCTAAGTAATAGAACCAAGATAGCAACCTCTCTCTCCCCCTGGACTCTAAAATGTAAATTACTTACCCAAGGTTACGCAGCTTCTAAGTAGTAGGACCAGGATAGTAACCAATCTCTTCTTTGCTGAAGTGACCATAGCAGATTTTTAGAATAGATGCTGGTTACTTTAGGAAGCCCTCATGCTCTCACGCAATGAACTTGAGGGATTTGATGCAATTACAAATGACTAGTCTCTCAGACAAGCATTTACAATTTTGTCTTATCCCCTTATTGGACGTTTGTCCGTTTTATGACTAGTCTCTGAGATAAGCATGAAAAGATTCTCCCTATTTCTTTCTGTTCCTCCATGTTTAACAGGTGTGTCTTCTTGCATTTCAAGAAAAAGGGAACTACACAACAGTTGTTGAAAAAAGCAAGCTGGCATCCACCAGTCTCTGTGCCTAATCCTTCCTCTCTCCCCTTTCCAGACTCCTATCTCCCTCCTTATTTTCCCTGTATAAATAACCTTGCACCCAGCCAATGAGCAGGACAGTGGTCTTCCATACATGAGTCTGCTGCCATCCTCATGTTCGAATTAAACCACTTTCCTTTTACTCAAACTGTTTCCTTTTATTGGCTAAGGGAAACTGAGGCCTGAGTTCAGTAACAGATAGGTAGATAAGTTCAAAGGCGTGCTTAGGCTCTGCCTCATCAAGTTTTAAAAATTCCAATGAAATGGATATAAGTTCTGTCAGAGAGGGGGGCCCCCCTCTACAGTTTTTCTGATATTGGAAGGAGACAACCTATACCTCATATTGGAAATGAGAAAATAAAGAGACTGTATCTGCTTGTGATGTCCAGTAGAATTCTTTTCTCCCTGGAATTCAACAAAGTCCACTATTGTGATCTACCTTTCCACGTGGGATTTACCAATTCAGCCTTCCTCCTCTAGAACTCTTTTTTTTTTTTTTTTTGTTCGCTTTTAGTGCTTGACACTATCTTGGGCATAGCTGATTTTAATATCTTGTTTCAGCTATGGAGTTTAGGACTCTAGTGAAACTTGCGCCACCAAAGTAACAAAGAAAAACTGATAATTTACTACAGGCCAAAAAACACATAATGAAGAAAAAACTAATTCCATTGTTAGATTGTTTTAATTGAAGTTATGTGGTTTTTATTTAAGTCGAGCAGATTGAAATCACTGCTCAGCAAGAATTGTTCTAAGCTTTTTATTTAAAAAACAATGCATAACCTTATTTTCTATACACTTTAAAGACAGAAATGAAATGGATAAGGTATTCTTGTCTTCCTCAAAAATAGAAACTTCGGCCCTCCCTGGTGGCGCAGCGGGTTAAAGCACAGCACTGACAATCTAAAGCCACTTCCGCATGATTTTGATCCCCGCCTGCCCTGGAGGTAACCACATTGCATGGCAGACCTCTCCTAATCCGCCCACTGCTCCCCTCAGCAGTGTACTTTGTTGATCTGCCTGTTCTGCTCCCACTCTGTCTCTGGTGAAGCCTCTTAACACCCTTGAGCCTCTGGCCTGTATCCCAGTTCTGTATGCACAAATAAATAAATCTTAAAAAAAAAAATAGAAACTTCACGAAAATATTCTCAAACAAGCAGTAATGTCGAGTTCAGCAGACCATGGTTTGAATTTCAAGCTCTGCCATATGTAAGCTATGTGACATCAAGTCAGTCACAACCTCTCTGTGCCAACCTTCATCTACAAAATGAAAATAATCCTACTGCCTCCCTACCCTGTGACAGGATTAAATGAGACAATCCAAGTTAGGTGCATGGCAATGGGGCACTTCCAACAGCTGTTAACTATTCCAGTTTTTCTCAGACCTCCACACCAAATTGCTGTTTCCTTCTCCACATGCTTTTTTAATTTGTTCTTAAGTCATAACAGTTTAATTTTCACTTTTTGATTGCTCTTGGAGATTAAAAGTAGTGGTGTGCCTGAGAAACAACGTAGAGAAAATCTGAGGATGTCAGTGTTGCCCTGATACCATAGGTTCCACCTAAACATATAAGGCGGCCATGCATTTACCAGGACCTCGCCTGACAAGCAGCCAAGTGTCAGTTAGTAAATCTATAATCTCCTTTCAGCTATTTGCATTACAAAGGAATGACTTGAAAAATCAGACTCAAAATAAAGATAGGACTAAAACTAGCCAAGAGAAAGGAGTTCTGACTTAGGATAGATAATATTTTAGAAATATTGCTTGGCCAATGGTAAGTCCTATACCACCTATTGGAAAATACCATTGATTTACCACTGCTTGTAAACTACATTTCTTTAACCCTTATACATCCATTGGAATATTTACTGGAATATTTGTGCAGTTACTTTCCTACAACATGTGTCACTTCCACCCACTGTGTCATTTAGCCTTTTCTCCTCTGGGTAAAGGTCAGTTCAGTTTAGCTAGAGCAAATACTCAGCATGTCAACCCTGTGAATTCAGAGAAGTGTTACAATATCTGGGAGTAGATGAGCCTCGGGAACTTGGAGAGGAATTTATGACATAACTGACAGAAGATGGCTAGGGACAGCCCTCATGAGTAGGGTGCAGGTCAATTGTAGAGGTGTGAGTTTATGACTGACATAAACTAGTCTGTTGTCTCATATCCTTCGTTTTCGTTGCCAAGGCAAAAATCCCTCCCACGTTTAAGGGAAGCTATGAGTCGTTTCCTGAATGTGTTACGAAGCTGGCTGTTTATGGTATCCATCATAACGCTGGGGAACTCACTGCAGTGCTTCCGAGACCATGCCTTTCTCTATGAAAAGCTCTACACTGGCAAGCCGGATCTAGGTAAGAAACCTAGTAACTGCATCTTATGTAGGAGTGGCCTGAGTTGTGGTTTCCAGACCCAGCTGTACAGCGGAATAACCTAGCACACTTCAGCAATCAGAAAACGTGATTTCCCTTTCAAACCAATTTATTAAAACTTCACCCCCAAGGTTTGGCTGGGACATTTTTTTTAAAACTCCACGTGATTCTGCTACTTCCCATCTAGCTTTTGGCAGCCCCTTGAGTAACGGACTTCATGGATAATACGGGCCCTTTTTTCCCCCAAGCTCCTCTGAGTACTTTCTCATTCATCTTACACCCCCATAGGCAGTCAGACTGTTAGAAAAGGCATTATCTCTTCTCTAAAAGTAAGAATATGGCCTTCCCTGGTGGCACAACTGGTTAGGATGCAGCATTGCAAGCTGGCCACAGCTGCTTCAGTGCGAGTTTGATCCCCAGGCTGGGAGGTGACCCACATGGCACAGCAGACCTCTCCTGACCCTCCCACTGCTTCCCTCAGCAGTGTACTTCGTTGATCTGCCTGTTCTGTCCCCAACTCTGTCTCTGGTGGGTCCTCTCACCCTCCACATCTCTGGCCTGTACCCCAGTTCTGTACACATAAATAAAGAAATCTTTTTTAAAAAGAAGTAAGAAGAAAATGAAAAGTAAGAATAACAAGGTGGTTCTGTGGTGCTCTATTAGAAAGCCATAAAGATACTTTCCATATTATCTCCACCCTCCTCAGAAACTAGGCTGTAGGACTCGTGGTTTGCATCCTGTGTTGCAAATGGAAAGTTACTAATCCAAGGTCTTCTCAAACCATGACATAGTTCCTGAAAAAGTATCCAAAATTCCCTCCAAGTTAGCTCTCAAAATGAAATTTCAGAAGGCCCAGAGAGGCCTTTCCCAACTCCCCAGCCTCTCTGCCAAGAGGGCTCATGTCCCAGCCTACGCCTCCCTGCCTTGATGCGGCCTCTCTGAGCCACAGCACCATTTCACAACTGCTGACAGTTCTGTGTCACATTTACAGCTGACCCGGATTTAGACTCTGACCTACTCATTTTTCTGCATTATATGCGTATAAAATGTAACTAAGTAGGCTAAGGCTCATTTTAAGCAAAGTTCAAATATAGCGGAGTAAAGAAACTGGAAAAACCAGTAAGTCGTTCTACTTTTTCACCTTCAAATGCTGCCCTCTGATTGTCCAGGAACCCTCTATCGATTCACAGGCTTTTAGAAGTTACCTGGTGTAGCCCTTTGAATTTAAAGTTGAGACTTTAGGCAGCCCTCTCTGGTAGCACAGCAGGTTAAAGTGCAGCACTATGAAGCTGTCAGCGCTACGAATTTGATTCCCCGATGAGGGAGTTGACCCACATGGCATAGCAGACCTCTCCTGACCCACCTGCTCTGCTCCCCTCAGTCAGTCTGCCTGTCTTCTCCTCACTCTGTCTCTGGTGAGTCTTCTCAAACACATACACACCCCCATATACCTCTGGCCTGCACCTCAGCTCTTATATGCATAAATAAATAAATCTTTAAAAATTAAAATAAAGTTGAGGCCAAGAAGCCCAGACGTCCTAAAAATTGGTGAAGGGGCCCTCCCTGATGGCGCAGCGGGTTAAAGCACAGCACTAAGAAGCTGAAACCACTTCCGCATGAGTTCGATTCCCGCCTGCCCCGGAGGTGACCACATGGCGCGGCAGACCTCTCCCGACCCGCCCGCTGCTCCCCTCAGCAGTGTACTTGGTCAATCTGCCTGTTCTGCTCCCCACTCTGTCTCTGGTGAAGCCACTCGCCGCCCCTGAGCCTCTGGCCTGTACCCCAGTTCTGTATGCACAAATAAATAAATCTTTAAAAAAAAAAAATTGGTGAAGGGCATTGAGTTGTCAAAGCACTGTGTATGTCTGTGTGTGTGTGAGTCAGTCTCTAGCTCAGAATTAGAGCCTACATCCTCCCACAGGAGCACCATGGAACATCCTGTACAGTTGTACCTGGTGCCTGATCTGGTTAGGGTATGTCAAACAGTTCACTTTCACATCTCACTAAAGAAATTTCCTCAGGTTTTCCATCAGAAGCACTATCAAACTGGTTTCTTAAGAGTGAAGTCCAGCCAGATAATCTGGTTGACATACGGAATTTCTTCTCACTACCTTGGAAGGGTGTTCAGGTATCATTGCCTGGTTTTCTAAGGGCTGGAAAATCCTTAAAGTCCAAGAAAACATTAAGACAGGTGAAAACCTGTCTGTCTTGTACCTTGAAATTTCTCTGCTTTCATGTTTTGGCATTTCCAGCCACTGGTTGCCTTGATTGATGACTATATGTTAAACTCACCTAGACAAGAAATTTTTAGACAATAACCTCCAAAGAGTCTGATTTCATTGGTCTGGCACCCAGATCTTGGAATTGTATTGAACTCCTTCGGTCAATTTTAATAGACACCAGGGTCAAGGACCACAGCATGGCAGAATATGATTTGTGCCCTCAGGCTACATAGTTAATACAGCAGTGTCAGAACGAAGTCACTACAAGCATTCACCTTAGAAAATACCAAATACTAGTGCTTTGTTCCACTACCATGTTCAGGAAACCAGCCTGTTTTCAGCTTTGTTCAAATAATATAGATCTGGATTCAGGAGAAGTCCCAGGCACTCAGGTCTCTTTAAAGACCAGATGTGAGCTTCTGCCCCAGAATTTGAGTTCTCTCCTGCCTCAGCCTTGAGAGTCTGCTGACCTCCGAGGCATCTGGTAGTGATGGATCACTGCAAGATTCCCCAGCATCCCCCCAAACCTGTCCTGATCCATACTCATGGGCTTCACTAGAACCTGAGTGCCTTCCAGAGGCAAAGGTGTGAACTACTACTGGTAGTACCCCCTCAGAGGGCTCTTCGTCAGACTTCTACTCTGGGAACTCCCCCATCAGCTGGAGACATTTGAAGAAGAGCTGAGCAGTTCTCATTCTGGAATTTTTTCCATTCCTTCTAGTTCCCAGATGCAGTACCAGAACTTAAACTAAAAAACTCTGCCCAGCCTAAGGGAGTTCAACTCAGCCCTGCCTCTCATGAACCACCAGTGAGGTAGGAGGGGTTTGAAGGGAACCCCAACCCTCTCCTTTTCAACATTGTAGTGTAACCATACCAGGCCAGGCAGGTTCACTGTTGATTTGGGCAAATGAGTAAAGGAATCTTAGGCCCTCAACAGATTTGACAGGCCTTTAATGCTGAAGTAGGGAACTAGGTAACACAGGCAGACCAGCAGGTTGGCAAGCAGGCAGGGGGCCAGGAGGTAGGCAACAGCTGAGCCCCCAAGCCCCCCTTCAGTTTCTACAAGCACGAGTGCACTCTCCCTCTCACTTCTCTGAATGTTCTCTGTCAGTCTCCCTCATTCTCATAATCCTATCTCTCTGTTTCTGGATACATGCACCCCATGCTCTCTAGCCTGCAGCACAGGTATCTTATCACAGATGCACACTCCCTTGCTCACACTTCCCGACCCAGGTGTCTTTGCATGCCTCCTGTTCATGCTCTCAAGTGCTTTTTTGCACCAACATGCTATCATGTGTGGGCATTAAGACCTGGAAGGAAAGCCAGGCTGCAGATGCCAGTCATAGAAGCTGGAGACAGAAGGCAGGAAAGAGCCTGAGTGACTCCACTTTCCTTACAAACACGCATGCTTTTTTCTGCTCACAGTGAATGGCCTCCATGCTCGGACCTTTGGGATCTGGACGCTGCTCTCATCAGTGGTTCGCTTCCTCTGTGCCACCGACATCCGCAACAAGCCGTACGTGAGGAGAGAGTTTAAGCTCCCCTTTGTTGGAAATCGGGTGTTACGCATACCTGCCGTTGTCTGCTCCTTAAAAACCTGTTAGTTTTGATACAGCAGTCTAGACTGTGGATGATTATAGGTTAGTAGGTTTCATTTCTCCCAGGACTAAAAACACGGTAAGACCTGGAACTGAATAGCAGGTTGGCAGTGTCATTGTCCAGTCACCTGCCTCTTTACTAAAGAGTCAACCGTTCTCCTCCTCAGTAGAGTAGTATGCTCTTTTTAGAGCAGTCACCCACACTTACCTTATTCTCACATTCCTCCTTCAGAAACAAGAATGAACAGAAATGACCACCCATGAAAAAATGGAACCCACAAGCAAACTGCCATATGCTTATACAGAGTCCTTAGAGGAGGGCTGCGCTGCTGTCTGCCTCTCCAGGGCACAAATACACCCTGGTGTGGGGGCTTTCGCCAACATCTCCTATTTAGATGGGGTTGTGACTGACTCTTGCCACTGGAGGGCGCGCTCTTTCCAGCTATCGTCAACTACCACACACTTCAAGAAGGGCAACATTAGCGCCTGTCCATGGGTGAGGCCACCAAAATGCCAACTTCACACTAAAATACTTCTCCATCTTATCCAAGTTTTCAGCATTGAGGGAAAGATGTGGTGGTAATATTTATCGAGCCTCTCTTAAGCCAGAAGTTTTCTTCATAGGATCTTAAGTCTCCAAGCAGCCCTGGGAGATGGTGACTTTTATTCTTGATTTTAGATTTTTAAAGACCCAGTTAATTTAAACTGAGGAAGACTGGCTCAGGTGGGATTTGAAGCAGAGCTGTTAGCCCTGCAGCCCCTCTGATGTTTCACCTTTTTTAGTTTATTTATTTTTTAAATATTTTTAAGTGACTTGTTCTAGAATGACAAGTATTTTTGGAAGCAAGTGTGGCTTAATGAAAACAGCCTGGGGCCAAGAATGAAAACAAGAAAAGGGGCGCCAGTATCAGTTCACTGAGTAGCTTCGCAACAAAAAGTTCATTATATATCTTCTCTGCTCTTCATCTGTCAAATGAGAGCAGTGTGTCTGTTCTCCCTCAGGAGGACTGAAAGGGAGGAGGGACTGAATCATTACTTTATAGACCTCATCTGCTGGGTGTCAGGTATGACATGTCTTGCTTGTTGTGCTTCTGGAGCAAACAACTCAGACTCACCTCCACTTGTGCTGCCTGTTGATTTCCCTCCTCCCAGCACCCAACAGTGACTGTTCTTTCCAGCCATTCTGTAGCTTGGGACTTTGGTCCATGTGCTCTGAATGTGCATCTGGTTCTAGCCCCTCCCCAGCTCGCCCCTCAAAATCCACTCCTGTACATATGTATTTTAAATGTATAAAAACAGGTACAGGAATGATAAATCGATTTAAGTTACTGAATTCTTCTGGAGAGGGGGAAGGCAGGAGAATGGGAATAGAACAGGATAAGGCTACCCAGAATGCTTTAACTGACATCTGTAAATATTTTATTTCTCATACTAAAAATTTCTGAAGCCAAAATGTTGAAATGTTCAGAGTTGATAAATAAGAGCATTAGTTTCAGACAGGTTAATTAATAGTCTTCTAATTATAATTTTGTATATATTTGAAGCTTTGCATGACTTTTAAAATTTCATAGTTAAAAAAAAGCACAAAGATATCAGCAGTCCAAGCGACCTGTCATTCCTCTGCCTTATCATCAAAACTGAGGGAAAGTTTTTCTTCCCACAAGAACCCTGTGTGACATTTATCCAGGCTAAAACACCAAGCAGTCGGCCCATGTTACAAAAGCATCAAAAGCCACAGAGAAACCCTTGCTGCCCCATCCCAATTCAGACACTTTCCTCTGGGCTACCCACCCTGTAAGCATGATCCACAACCTCCACCTGGCAGACTGAGACTGTAGAACCAAGCCAGAACAAATAGAATTTGCAGCTTGCGGAATTCGGATTGATCCCCAATTGTCTACACTGCCTAAGGTTGCCCTCTTCTAGACTCTGAGTTGCTCTAGCTGACACCACCCCCTTGCTCAGACGTGGAGAGCCACCTGCCCTAGCTGCACCATTCTCAGCTCAGGCTAACAGATGAAACTTAGGTTTGCCCTAGCAGGGAATAAGTGGGTGGGATCAAATAGCCAGCTCTTCCTCAAAACTAAGCCTCCTTCTCTTTAGTCAGTCGCTTCCTGGGGTTTTATCGTATCTATCGCATCTAGCCACAACTTTTCCCCAGCACTGAACAAGTCGTGCCTTCAGTTCTTAGTTCTGTCTGCTCCCTTCTAGGCTCTACCACATCACACTCTGGACCTTCCTCCTCGCCCTGGGACATTTTCTCTCTGAGTTGTTCATATATAGGACGGCCACCCTCACGATTGGCGTCCTGGCACCCCTGATCGTGGCAAGTAAGCATCTAACCACCCTGCACCTCCCACAGGCACTCTGGCCATCAGGAGAGCAGAGTGTTGTTTATGCCAACCGCTAATCTTTTGTCTCTATTCTAGGTTTCTCGATCCTAGCTATGCTAGCTGGGTTCAGCTACCTAGAGGAGGAATCAGTACCCAGACACAAGAAGAGAAACTGAGTCAGCATCACCACCTCCAAGACTTCATCTCCATCCTGGCTGTCCTCTTCACTCATCTTCTCTCCTCTTTAATGTCTTCTTTTCTGCCCCATCATCAGCCCCCTTATCCACTTTGAGCCTTTCATGTTTTGGGGTTTTTACATTAAAAAAAAGTTGAAGATCCTTGCATACAGAAAAGCACATCTTAAAATGGGTGCTGTGCCCCTCCGTCCAGATAGGATATTGCCAGCACCGCAGAAGCCCCACTGATACAGGCTAAGAGTAGGAAATTTGGAAAGGAGGCAGCACAACATCAAAACTGGCTCATGCAAGGCCAGGTGTGGGGGTAAAAACGATTAATATAGTTGCTAAACTAGCTATAAAAAGATTCAGAGCACAGATTGGGAGGAGGAACATGGAATTAAGGACCACTGTAAAAATCTCCAGTCCTTTCAATTCTACCTGCCAAAGCAAATAAATTCCTCAAGTGTGAAGTCTGGAGTACAGAAGGGAAGAAGGGATGTGGAAATTGACATCCATTGTCCCTTCAAATCTACCTAGTGGAGCCAAGTAAAGAAAGTGCGTAATTGCCAACTGATAACAAGCGTCGTCGTTCCCAAGGCCAGTCCCTGAAGCACCACCTGATAACAAATGTTGGGCGGCCATCCATCCGTCCATCCATCCTGCAACATATACTTACTCAGTCCAGGTAAAGAAATTCCTTAAAGCGCCAACTGATGGCAGGTACCAAACTGCTGTCGACCAGACGGAGGTTGAGGACCACTAGAGACTCCCCAGTCCTTTCGGATTCTGCCTAATCAAGTCAGCAAAAGTGAACTACACCACAGACGTCAGCCCCTCCCCACTGAAAGATGTTACAAACACAAGACTGCCCCTCCAAATGCACAGGACACTCTGCAAGTGTCTTTGACTCCCCACTTTTTATAAATGAACCTGGTTTTTTAATATATCTAAATCCTCAGTCTCGTGGAGAAACTCACCATTGTGCCCCTGACGGGTGTCTCTGGTCAAACTTCGAGTTAACCCAGGGACCCCTCTCTGAACGCAACACCTCTCCAGACCAACATCACCCCTCTGCTGCTCCCCCACCTGCAGCCTCGTCTAGAACCCCTTCTCTGGCCTTCACTTTCTTCCTTTTATTTTCATCTTGCTTTGATTTGTGTGGTGGGAAGCCCAGAACTATGAAGTGTAAAGCTACTGCTTCAGCCAGAGCAGTTGCCACCGAGGGCTGCCTCCAGGGTGGCCCACCCAGGCCGGGCTCCTCGCTGCTGCTGCTGGTGTACCCAAAACTAAAGCACCCATGGCCAAGCAGTTCTTCAGAAGGGCTCCCTGAAGGTGGGCACAGCTCATCTGTGCACAGAAGTCGGGGCTCTTTACTCTGTACTTGCATAATGAGCTTTATAATAAAGGGGAAAAACCTCCACTCTGGCCCATCCTTATTCTTTGACCGCCCTTAAGCCGAAAAGTGACCTGCCTCTTCTGGCTGCTCACAGCCTGCCACTGGCTAGAGCCATCAGTGAGGAGGGCCGACCCAGGCACCCATGGCGCTCAGCCCCTTCTGTCACTAACTAATTTCTCTTGAAGCCAAACTTCCTCCTCTCCCCCATCTTCAAGACTCCTCAGTTTACCACTGAAAAGTCAAAAGCTGAGTTTTCTTCCCCAGAAAGAAACATTCTTTAAGGAATTGGCAGGCAACAGAATCAGACAGCATGGAAGAAACAACTGTTTGGCCATAAAGGGGAGAGCCCTAAACCCCAAGGGTAATGCCTGGATGAACAGCTGTCCTCCAGACACAACCCCAAGAGGCTCCATGCTAGCCCAGCCTTCACACAGGGCATGTAGATGCCAGAGTCCATTGTTTCAACAAATACTGAGTGGGCTCTTACACCACGCCAGATACGTAGGCAAGAGAAAGGATGACGCAGGCAAAAGACCTTGCTCCCTAACATTGTATTTGGGGAAACACAACCTATAAGCCCATAGGGGGAAAAGAAGCCCTCAGATAGAAATTAGAACTCCACAGAAAACAAGATATTGTGAGATCCAGAAGGGGAAGGGCTGTGCACATAGATCATCACAGAAGCCTCTCTGCATTAGGTTTTGAGCTGAGAATAGAATACTAGTGGGAACAGGTAGGAATGGTCTTGTTCAAGGAATAAGACTAGTGTGACTAAGTATGGGGATGTTAGGAAGCGAGAGGTCAGAAAAGAAGGCAGGGAACTTGTGAGGCATGTAGAAAGCTTCACTGCATTGGGAATTTGTCACTTAAGACTTCTCTGGTGGAAAGGAATAAAACTTTCAGTTTAAACAATGAACACTGGCTCACAAAACTGAAAAGTGAATGAGGTGCTTTAGGACTGTATGGTGCCATACTGGTTACACAATTAAATTCTCGGTGTTCTAGCCCTACGATTTAGAAAGAGCTTGGTAGTATAAACTATCTCTCCCCACTCATCACTTTTGTTAAGCCAGCAGTAATGAGTTAAACATTTGTGTGTAGACCACTCAGAAAGGAGGGAATGGATACATAAGATGCCTGAAGCCTCCCTGGTGATTCCACCTAATACTTTCGAAGAATCAAAATATGAATATTGGATCTAGCAGCTGGGGCTTTGGCTGTCTTCCCAGTGGACTTAAAGTAGAACTGAAATGCTATCTCTGTCCAGCCAAGAATTGCTGTCAGACACAGTGCCAGAATGCCACTGTACTCTCGCGAGGAAATGCACAGGAAGCTGATGGAGGTAGCACAGCCAAGTAACAGACATAAGATGAGCACAGCTGAGAAGAGGCCCCCAAACACTGATGCTTGAATAACATGGAGTTAGGGATACCAACCCCTGCAGTCAAAAATTCATGTACAAATTTTATCCCCCAAAACTGAACTCTAGTCATCCCTTGACTCCATGGAGGATTATCCCAACTCCCCCGCTACTGTACCCAGATTTGCAGATGCTCAAGTCCTTTATAGTTGACCCTGCACGTGTGGATTCAGCCCTCTGCGTTTCTCAGTTGAATGGCGGAGTGCAGAGCCATTGGCTACAGAGGACCAGCTGTATTGAAACTAAATCCTTAAGGGGACTCGCAACATTCAAATCTTTCTTGCTCCAAGATCAACTGTAAGTAGGACAGAAGAAAAACAGTAACAGAATGGCAGATGCCAAGCCTATGGGCTCTGCCAGAGCAACTGGTGTGTGCTGGGGTGCTGACAGAACAAACACCTGAGCCACCCTTGGGGATAGAGCCAGAGAAAACAGTGGCTGTGGTCACCTGAAGTCACACGGATGGACTGTTCATGTGTACAAGGTCCAAAAGTGGTCAGGGTCATGTGTTGGCGCCAAGTTGCCACAGAGACCAGAGCAAATGTACAGAGTTGTCTTTAATCATCACCCACAAGGGCGGTAACATGTCAACGTGTCAACGGAGGCGGAAGAGGTAGCCAGCCCTTCTCAGAAATCGGCCTCAGGGCCTACAAAAAACCCATCTCTGCCCTACCCATGACCAGGCCAACCACATGAAGACTCTTTTATTGCCTTAAAACATCTGTTTCACAAATAGAAAATACAAATTACGTTTTTAAAATTCAGCAATGGATTCAGTAAACATTCTGTTAATGTATTTGAAGGGGGGCTAAAGAGTGAACACCTTTCTCCTCATCAAAAAGTGAGGCAGATTCTTTCTTCACCTCTTCCACCCTAACTCACTCCCCTCACCAGAAGTGTGAAGTGTAAACTGGCAGACACACACACCTCTGGCTCCTCTTAGGGGCCATGACCCAGCACCCCATCATTGTTGCCATCACAGGATACTCTTATGTGCCAAGACCAGAGTGGTGGTCACAGCCGCTCAACACAGGAAGTCACCAAAATGTCTTCTTCTCAGGGGACACTATAAAAGCCCCGTGGAGGGCCAGGCAGTAGGCTAGGCAGGAAGAGGACAGCTTTGGATGGTGAAGGGATATCTCACAGGATCACTAGAAGGCTGGAGGATTCCAGCCACACTGTCTCCACTAGAGGTGGGATGCACTTCATTCAAGTAGGCCCAGTTTCCAATCCAGAAGCCACCTTTCCTTCCACCCCTTTCCATGTCATCTCTCAGAAGCAGCTTGGATGTGCCAGGGTGGAATGAAACAAGATTAGTTTTCAGGAAAGATTACAGGAGGTTGGCTGGAGTCCCCTTCATCCGGGGGCTGAGGCCAATAACTGAGACCCTCCGGGATTGCCTGGAGGAAGTGCCTGGGCAAGGTTTCTTTTGTACAAAAGAACCTTGTTTCCGATCAAGCTACCGAATCCCCAAATATAGGCCTCCCTAAGCACTCAAGGGCATCCCCAGCACCACACACACCTAGATGGTAAGGCGCTCCCAAATTGGTTTCTCCTTCATGGCCACCACAAAGGTTTTGTCAAGTTTATTGGTGTTTGGTTTGGTCAGCTCTTAGAAAAGAGGGTTTGGAACAGACCCCAACATCAGGCCAGGAGAATCGAGACCCAGGGTCCCCATAGGTTTGTTCTGATGCTGCTTTTTCAGATGTTGCTTTCTCTCGGCCAGAAGTTGAGTAGTTAGTCTGATGTGGGGAATGACCCTCCCCAGAGTAGCAGCCGCTCCTTAGAATAGGGGCTTCAAAGGACTGGAAGACACTAGAAAAGTTAATATCCTGGAAAAGCTTGCTTTCCTTGATAATTTCACAGGTTTCTCCAGAGGGTAGGAGGAGCAGAGGGAAGGCAAGGCACCAAATGTGGGGGGCCAAGGGGCTGGTCCATGCCTCTCCGCCACTTCCCAACACCAGTCCAGGAACCTGACGGCGAGGGCGGGAACTGCTCCGGATTTGGTGAAAGGTGCCCTTCCCCAAACAGACATGCAGCCTCTGCAGCGGGTCCAGGAGACGTGGGCACTGCCTTCCAGGCCAGTACCCCAGCTGGCTCCCTCCAAAAGCTGCTCCAGTGCAGTGTGAACGGTGCTGACTAAGGCGGTGGGTGTGCTGTCCCTGAGTGACCACCCCCTTCTCTCAGAGATGCTCCTCAAAAACAGTGGTGGGCACTTTGCTGTTACTGCTCGCCTCCTCTTCCTCCTCTTCCTCCTGGAGCTTCTACAAGGCAAAACAAGCAAGTAGCCATTGGGTGAAGAGGCACAGGAGTCCGCCAGGTAGGAGGAGCAGCTGCCGGTCAGTAACTGTGCAGTCAGCAGGAAGACAAGAGCCCGAAGCCGCTGGGCACCCCAGAACAAAGGGAAGAAGGAGAAAAGCCACCCCTGCCATAAGTGCGCTCCCTAAACTCTCTCACACACACACCCCACCAAAGAACGAAAGAATGGCTGGCTTCTGTGATGCCACAGCCACTACAACCATCGGTTGAATCCCACAGTCCCATTGTTTCAGTCTCAGGACTGAAACAGAAGCAAACGCCCTCTTCTCCGTCCCCCCCTCAGACAGCCTGATACTGTCCTGGTCTGACCAGCAAGTGCGGCTACAAAAGTGCCAGGTGTGCAGCTGGCACAATTCCAGAATTTCCAACGACTGCCATTTGGAGGCAGCCCTGAGAGCCAGGCGTGTTATACAGAGAGCACAGAGTGGATGCAATAAGCACTTTACAAAGGTGAGATGCATAATTGCATAGATGAACTCAAAGGCTACATGGCTGCTCCCCCTACCAACCCCCAGATCTTAGGTCTGTTTGACTCGGGCATTCTTGGGGAGGATGGATGGCATGGGCTTACTTAACAGGGAAGCTTCTTCTGGGTCATACTTGTGAGATGGGCTTAGAATAAAAATTACCCTGTGGGGCCCTGAGGTGATGCTGCCCCCTTGGGCACATCTGCTATTTTAAGGCACACTTTGCTTCATCTAGCTCAGCCAGTTAGCAAGGAGGCCCCGCACAGGCACAGCACTGCACAGCCCAGACCACCAGGGCTGCAGGAGTATGTGCAGGGCCCGGCCAGAGCCTGGAGTCAAGCAGACAAATATTGCTTTCTTCCCCAGGGAGTGTCTCAAGGCCAGTCCATGGCAATGGCCACAGTTGCAGAAATCCAACCTTCCCATTCTCAAGCTTGCTAACATTGTGGCACCAGGCCAGCCTTGACTGTGAGAAGACTTGGTCCAGACAGCGAGCAGTCTACTTAAGTCAATCATCAGTCTCTCCCAGACACACACACACATGTGCACACACCTGCTTCCTCCAAAACCATCCCCTGAAACCAAAGTCAGAAACACAGATTAGTGGACCACAGCCACTACCAGCTGGAAGGAACCTGGACGCCCGAGCCAAAGTCAGTCATGACCTCCATCCATCCCAGCACTATCTCTTTTCACTGAAACTCTACACTTCCAGGATGAGGAAGAGAAGCCCTGGCCAGATCTGCTGCATGTGTCAGTCTGCTCCTGGCTCTGATAACCCACCTAGGGATGGCGTGTGGCTTCCCTGGTGTCACCCCGGCGTGACTCCATCCTCCCTGTAACAGCAGTTGCACCAGAAGCAGGTGAGCTCCAGAGCCGCCCTGAGTTATCCTGCACAGTCCCTGGACTAGAAAACTATCGCTCCCACTACTACTCGTGCTAACTCCAACTGTGACCCACAAACCTGGTCCATGTGCACCAAGACCTGGCTGCAAGAAGAGAAAATATTGAAACACCTCAAAACTAAACAAGCAGGTAGAGAAACATGACATAGATTGTAGGATGAGCTGGGATGGACAGGTTGGCAGGTTGTGCTAAGCCAACAACCCGATGTGGACACCCACGCAGAGAACTGCAAACGGACTAAAGTGTTACTAGGTTCACTCGAGTTCACCTAGTAGGATGCCAGTATTATAGGTGACCTTTACTTCTTATTTGCATCTACTACCAGCATAAACAGACTGTTAACAGAAAACTGCATGTCACAGTCCATCCAAACTGAAACACATCTTCCTTTTGACAAGAGGCACTGCTGCCGGCTCACTGTTTTCCCCAAGCTGTTCCAAGTCATGATGTCCCCCAACATGTGGCACAGCGACAGCCCATTTCTGCCATGGTGGTGGCCTGCACCTCCCGTGGATAAGGGAGCAGCACTCTAGCTGCACGGCTTCCCTGTTGCCCCAGTGACTGTCCAGTCCTCACTGCCCCCTTCACCAGCCACCTGCTGCCGCCCGCCGGACCCAGAGTGTGATACCCGAGGACGAGTCGTAAAGAACTGATGATTCTTGTTTATCTGCCAGCATGTATCTTCACTGTGCTGATTAAATCTTTTTTCGATACCATTTTTGCCTTAGAAAACTGGTAGAGTTTTCGGGACGATAAGCGCTCAGGCTGGCATGCCTGCACTGTTCCCAATGAGCAGTGCAAGTGGGTGGTGTGACAGCACCTCTCCAGACAGCCATGCAACAACAGGGCATATCAGTGTCTCAGAAGTGTGCAGACATGGAGCCATCGCAAGGAAAGTCTGTGCTTAAGAACAGGCACAGAGATGCAGCTTCCAGGCTGTAAATCACAGCACTGGTGGAAACAGCAATCAGAAATAACCTCAATGTCTCCAGAGAGGAAAAATGTGAAATCCACAGAACAGAACAGCAGTCATGAAAAGTATGTTGTAGAAGACTAAGAACCTGACAAAGTGTTTGTAGAAAAGCAGATACAGGCCCCTCCCTGGTGGCACAAAGGGTTAAAGCACAGCACTGTGAAGTTAACCGCAGCCACTTTAGCACGAGTTGGATCCCAGGCCCAGAGCTGACCCATGTGGCGCAGCAGACCTCTCCTGGCCCGCCCGCTGCTCCCCTCAGCAGTGTACTTTGTCAATCTTCCTGTTCTGCTCCCTACTCTGTCTCTGGTGAATCCTCTCACCAGCCCTGCACCTCTGGCCTGTACCCCAGTTCTGTATGAACAAATAAATAAATGTTTAAAAAAGAAAGAAAGAAAGAAAGAAAGAAAGAAAGAAAGAAAGAAAGAAAGAAAGAAAGAAAGAAAGAAAGAAAGAAAGAAAGAAA